ATTTTAAATTACATATTATAAAAAATTATTACTATCAATGCTTAAATACTTCACAAAATTTTAAATTTCAATTTATTTGATTACCTTTGAGTTAATATAAAAAGGTTTATTTGATCTACGAATCTTATTTTTCTGAATACCGTCTTGAGTAGCATACATCAGCGCCATCTGGTGTCATTAATGAAAACAAAATGATCTTGATCTTTTTGTAATATATTCGAATACATTGGTTAATATTAAAATAAATTGTTTCAATAAAATGACAATTAATAAAAATATATTTTATTATTATTAACAAATATATTTTATTATTTTTTGTATTTATATATTACTAGCTGCGCCCGGCGGTGTTATCTGCGGATTTCCGGGATGTAAAGTAGCCTATGTGTTATTCCTAGACGTCAGCTTCCTGTATACAAAATGTTACCAAAATCGGTTCAGCCGTTTGAGCGTGAAGAAGTAACAAACATACACACATTCACAAACTTTCGCAATTATAATATTAGTAGGACAATATAAAAAGTCTTTAATGGAAATTTAATTAAATCTTTTAAATGAACACAAATTAAATCACTATTATCAATATTAAAAATATATTTTAAATTTATAACATATAAAAAAAACATTATCTTATTATTCAACTGTAACAATCAATAATTTTTCAATAATCTAACAATGTTTAAATTTATTGTAGTTGTGGGTAGAACAAACATAATTATTTTGTAATCATCGGTTTCTTGTTACGGAATCCTAAAAATCGTAATACGATTCAAACAGCCTCACCACTAGCGTGACTTGAATTTGTTTTTTTTTTGCTGTAGAGACGGGTCTCATCCGGTTTTTTTTAAATCGGATGACGTAATAAAGTGATTTTTATTATTACGTATATTATATTATTTAGGAAATTTACGTTTTAGTATGATTACAATGGTGTTATTGAATAAGATTAAAATAAACTGATAATATTTTTTATCTACATATATATCAAACTAAATATAATTAAAAATATGAAATGCCCATTGATACTTAATTTGTAAGATTCTTTTTCTTTAATCTTGAATTATAACTTAATTTTGGGTCAACGGTAATTATAATATTTATTATAAATCGTGATAGACTATCAACAGTAATATGCACAACTTTACACAAATGTAAATTTCTTTGGAAAGCCATAATGCAGTTAACTTTATCATGGCGTTAAAAAATATTTGAATCCCGCTCGAGCTGTGTTGAATGTAATGTGTGCGACAAGGATAGCGATATAGCTGTCTCTCTCTTCAGCCTTCGCCTCTAAACGACGTGTACATTCGCCATTTTGTTTCAAAACGCTTGCACTCATGTACGCGTTTGCAACGTTTATTTAATTATTAATATTCTATTGTGAAATGAAATATAAATATTGTAAGAGAATGTTTGAAAATACGTATCAATGGAGACTAGCATCGTCGTTTTATAGATAGGTAATAAGAATAGTTTGTAATATATTTTCATGTATTCGTTATTTCGTTGTAAAATGACACTGTTGTGTGCGCTGTCGAACGAACCGGTCGTGCGATGTTTAAATATAGACATTTTTATAGACATTAACATAATCTGATCACAATGCATAAAGGTAAAAGGTATTTATGTAAATAAAATCTTTTCCTGAGCTAGGTATAAACCTGTATTTCAGGCGACAGTACTCTCCTGTTGCAAAGGATTCATTTTACCAAGTTTATTAAAGTGGAATAGCGAAAAAAGTCAACACAGTATATTATGTAGTGTATGCTAAGCATATATATGTTAAATTCAATTATGCTGTATGCATTCGCCCACAGATTATTCTCTAGGTGCGTGGGACATAGTGGGGGATACTAAAGTGATGTCAGCGCCCTCTGCGGACAATACAGAACTACGGGTGGCTCTTTATCTAAGACCATAACAATAACAAATGCGTCAGTTTAATTAAATAAATAAAATAAAATGGGTCATCAAACTTGTTGTGTAGACAATTGCTACAATAACAGTAGGAATAGTAATTGTAAATATTTTAAGTTTCCGGTTGCCAAGGGGAAATTGGATCAGCGAATAAAATGGATAACTGCTGTTGGAAGGAAAAAGTAAGTATTATATAGCTTACAACCGTATTCTATAAAATAATGCCATATACAGGGTGACTGGTGAATTACTATCAATATTAAAGGAGCATACTCGGTACATGATTCTCATTCGAATTATGTAAAAAAAAATAGGTACTTAATTTTTGACCAAATTTCCGTAAAAATAAATAAAGTGTGTACACGTTCCAAGTGTTCCAAGTGTGGACGCGTGCGACGGCGTGCTGATACAACACTACGCCGCCGCCACGTCTGTGTGTGTGTGTGTGTATACCTAATCTGTAGGGTGTTCATACGATGCGTAATTAATTACATAACTTTTGGTTAACTTTACTTGGAAGTTTATTAATATTTATGTTATATTATTTTTTATTTTGTCATATATGATCGTCAAATATCACGTCCTCAAATATCGATAGTAATTCACCAGTCACCCTGTATATGTAAGAGGAGTAATAATTAATATTTCTTTGTAAAGTATTGATGGATCGCTATGGTTTCCAAAACCTATGGATGTTATATGCAGTGAACACTTCATTGGAGGTGAAAAATCAGATCTTGAATCAAGTCCCAATTACGTTCCAACTATTTTTCCATCAGTTAATAGAGGACATATAGTCAACGAATCCGAAGTTTTGAGTGGGTACGTTAAAAAATAAGTTTTGATTGAAATATTTAGATTAATAGAAATAGTCGACTTAATAATTTGATATAGCTATACCTGTTTTATTTATTAATTTATTTATTTAGAGACCAAAGCTATATGGACGGGAGATTAATAAAAAAATCAACGGCTGAGATAAATCCGGTGGTGAATATTATAGAACCGTCTGAAATAACAGATCAGTCTTCAACCATGAATCAAACGGTGGATCAATCCTGTGAAGGGAAAAAAAATTCTACTACCAATGTATCATCGACAACATTTATGAGTAATTATAATATTTTTTTTGTTTTTTTTTTTTTAATATTAATAATGATTTTATATTCTATATTAATTTTATTATAAACGTCTTGACAGATGTCTTAAACTAATTCACTTATTGACACTTGTTTAGTTGTATTTATTTTACTTACTGGTTTTAGCTGACCGACGGATATTTTTTAAATTTAATATTAACTAATTTTTTTTTTCAATTTGATTTTATTTTTTCAATAACTATTTGACGTACAATAAATGTTTTCTCAAAAGAGCCACCGTAAGTTGTATCGGTAGATGTCACTAGGGTCACCCACTCAGCGAATAAGATATTGCATTTAAAAATGGCATAGATTGAAAGAAAAGAGGATTATTTTTAATAGTAATTAAAAAAAGGTTTGTTATATAGAGAAATTTGATTAAATTGGTTTGGAGTAAAACGGTGATTAAATACAAAAAGTCATACTAATATTCTGATATATGTATATTAAATTAAATAGAGGTGTAGTATTTATTAAAATTTATTATTTCATAGAGGATGTTTGATGCGTGCGCCCTTCACGACGTCTGATAGAATTGTGGCAATCTTTCCACGCGTGTAGTCTTAGAAAGGAATTTTGTGATCGTTTTGCAATATCCTTACTATGGATAACATAATCAAGTGATTTTCAATTAAAATATAGTTTCCATTAAATGAATGCATAACGTTTTATAAAGAACTTGATATATTTATTCGTTTTAATACGGAATAAGCATGTTCATGCACTCAAAGTGACCCATTTCTATTTTTATATACTCTTCACGCAATACAATATTGTAGATTATTTTTTAAAAATCATACCAATTATATTGAAGTAACAATGTGCTCTTTATTCATAATACATATTGTTTAATTGTGTAAAAAAAATATGTTACATATTTTTAAAATATTTGTTGGTCTCGTCTATTTTCTTGATATCGACTAATGTGTAAGAAAAGCACTATTTTCGTCTCTTTTTACACACAATATACACATAATCTAACAACGGCTTTTAATATTTTTAACATTTAATAAAATTCCATATTTGAGATTATTAAATTGGGCCTTATTAAATAACTAGCTTTTCGCCCGCAGCTTCGCCCGCGTGTAGTTCGGTTCGGTTATATGGAGTTTCCAAGAGAACCTTTCAAAAGTCTGGGATAAAAAGTATCCTATGTTCTTTCTCAAGGTCAACTCTATATCTGTACCAAATTTCATTAAAATCAGTTCAGTGGTTTAGGCGTGAAAGCGTAACAGACAGACAGACAGAGCTACTTTCGCATTTATAATATTAGTAGGGATTTTTCATTCATATTAGGGTAAAAGTGGGATAGACGCTAGATATACTTGGAGGATAGACGCCGCACCTTAAAAAAAGAGAATTTAAAACCAAGTTTACGCTCTAGTACCAAGTTCTTAGGACAGATCTTGCCCCGCGGCCCCCGAATACCTCAGTCTGCGCACGCGCATCGACATGACTGCACTTGTCGCAGCTTGAGTTAAAAAAAACGTTTCAAAATTTTATCGCGCTTGCATAATTCTTATGATAGTGACATTTTGACGTGTTCAGAACTTTCGTTATCGAAGGTAAGTTTTAAGTGTGTATTGTTATTTAAATAGTATGCATGATTTATATTTATGGTTTGTTTATGAAATTACGAAATTATTTAAGTATTTTTATTTATTTGTTGCGGCGTCTATCCCTACTAAATAGGATATAGGCCCCACTATTGACTGAGTATAGACGCCCTTAGAGGCATATATCGTCTTTGACTTATTCACAGGTACTTAGACTGTAGGTAAGATTTTTTTAAATAACTTACCTATCTAGTTAATATGCAACTTAGTAGGAAGATTGACTTTCCAGTTTATTTATGAGCTTTTATACCTTTACATGTCGTACTTCACTGTACTTGTAAAAATAATGCAACGTATCACCTAATTTCATTTTTTTATTTTAGACAAAATGCCGCATAAATATAAAAGGAAAATAGAAGCACCCGATCGTGCTCGTTGGTCAAAAGAAGCCCTTTGCAAAGCTTTTATGGAATTGGATAAAGGCCAGGTCGGTTTGAATGAAATATCTCGTCGTTATGGTATTCCATCTCGAACTTTGAGGAGGCGATATTATAATGAATATAACTATGAAAAAATTACTTTGGGTAAGTAATACAGGAATTATTGCCCTAATCAAATTCGATTTAGGCACCGTCTTCTTACTTGTCCTTTTTGAATCAATAGTATTTTTCTGTACCTATTAATCTTCTTTTTCAGGACAACGTACCACACTGGACTTTGACAGTGAGAAAATTCTCGTAGCTCACATTCAAAAACTACAAAAGGCAGGCGTACACACAACACGACAGGATGTAAGAAGACTAGCTTTCGAATTTGCCGAGAAACTTGGTTTAGAAAAACGTTTTAACAAAGAAACACGTATGGCTGGTTATTATTGGCTCCAATCATTTCTTGAACGACACCCAGTACTCCGTATTCGCGAGGCAGAAGGTTTGTCTATTGCAAGAGCTCAAGGACTAAATCGAGATGAAGTTAACAATATTTGAATTGTTGTTAAAAGTACTTACTCAAAATAGTTTGAATTTATAATACTGACGAAACTTTATCATATATTATTGCAACTAAGAAAGCAAATAAATATTTTATTTAATTATCAACGTATTCGTTTTTTATTACGGAGGCATCTATCCTATTGTAGTTTCCTAGTTTTTTAGAGCCGAATATCTATAAATCTACGGTATGCATTGAATAATGAAATGAGTAGATAGTTAGTATAAGGACTATAGTTATTACAAATAGTTAACTCACTCGAATAGTTCTTTAAAAAAAAGTTATAGTCAGCTTACAAAACGTGGAGCATCTATTCTTGTTTCTTTACATGAATTTAATTGATAATAATAAAATGTTTTATTTTTAAATGTAAATAAGTGAATTTCTTGATTGAAATAATTCTTCATATTTAGGCATATGTTAATAAAAGAACAATATTTAGAAAATATGTTGTAATTATTTTTGTATATTTAACTATTTCTTTAGTTACAGATTCTGCGTTATTTCAGTCTTAAAACGATTTTTATGATTTTTTGAAGTTATACTTGTTGAAGCTTAACATGATATATTTATATGAACATATATTTTAATTTTTAAAGTGGTAGTTGAATCGAACATAAATTCTGATAAATAAACTTTAATAGAACGATATAAATAATTTTCTATGCTTATTCGTATCTAGATAGATACGAACTATGATCTTTTGCAGGTTTCTCTGAAACTAATAATGCTACATAATTAAATTTCAATTTCTGTTTTAGTTTCCGGTATGTCTGAAGATATTACTCAATGGAATGCACAAAACTGTAAAACAACAAATACTGTGAAATATAGCAGTAACTCTGAACGTTGCAAACGGTATAGAGAACGAAAAAAATTGCTTGAACTACAAAAACTGCTAGCTAACAACGAAGTTTTGCATGCTCCAACAACATCAAGTTTACAAAAAACTTTTGATCCTCAGCTTATTACAGGTAAATATTTAAATAAATCGTTTTGATTAATTTTTATACTGTCAATCAGCATTTTATTTAAATGAAACTAATATTTTCGGATATACTACGTGACTTTATTCTTGACTAGCTGCGCCCCGCGGTGTTGCGCGGATTTCCGGGATGTAAAGCAGCCTATATGTTATTCCTGGACGTCAGCTTCCTGTATACAAAATTTTATCAAAATCGGTTCAGCCGCTTGAGCGTGAAGAAGTAACAAACATACACACACACTCACAAACTTTCGCAATTATAATATTAGTAGGATAAAAACTACATACTCCCAACGTATCAGCTACTTATCATCAACCCAGATCACGGGCAGACGAGAAGTAAGTGTCTGTCAACTGACAATAATAATAAGACTTAAATAAGAAGACCAACTAACTGGTCTTGTTAGTTAACTTAATTTCCTTTCGTACTTGCGTTATGCGAATTTCGTAACTTATAATAGTAATATCTTCATACTAATTACCGACAGTTTATGATTTATAAAATCTCAATGCTGACTTTTATGATACATATGATTTTTTTTGTTCACACCATAGACCGTAAGATATATCTGGATGTGTTTACCACAATTTTGCAATATACACTACATACAGAGCCGCAACAGATTGATAATAAATAAATTAAAACTATATGTATGAAGTATTAAAGTAGCTTATTGAGTGACAAACGGAGAACATCTCCTATTAACTTCTACTAGGTATAAAGTTTATTCATGTTTATGAAGTTACAAATAATATTACATTCAACAGCAACAGTTGCACCCAAGATGGATTTAAAAGATGTCCCAACAGCGAAGAATGCAAATGAATTGGATAAGTTCAAACGGCGACTAATACGTGCCATTGCGAGGCTGCTGTTCATTGAAAATAAAGATGATACACAGATATGGCAGGAATTGAAGAAAGAAACGGGATGGGACTGTCAATTATTGTGGTATGTTGTGGATTTGAAATCAGTTAATGTCATTAGATTTTTTTTGATTACCTTACTGACAAAATTGCAAATAATAGGCAATAATTTAAGGCAAAAACTAGTTTATATCGCTAAGATAGACACTTAAGACTATATATGTGACAATTATTCGTTATATATTTATTTTTGATTCCAACTTTGGCTTTTTTACATCTTCATCAAGTCAGTGGTAAGTTGAGTTAGTCATAATACCTTTTTGTGTAATATTTTCAGGACGCGAATGAAGGCATTGACCATAAAGAAACTGGTTAGGCTATTAACAGCGGAGGATAAGTTAGAAAATATAACAAAAATTGCTCGACTCTCATTCACTGATTGGCTGCTTTATGATCTAGTTTTAGTGCACGAGAAAGTGGACGTTATAGGCCAGGTAATAAGATATAGAATGTAATATAAAAATTTAGACATTATGATTTATTTATGCTCATACTTTAAACATAACTTTTCAGGATTTACCTATTAGGGAGGAACCGCGTTTTTTAAGAGAAATCTTTGAGTTGGTGATAGAATTTCATATAGAATATTCATACCAAGAAGATTTGGCGAAGAAATGGCTTGATGCAACCGCCAAGTACAACAAAGAGTAAGTTACAGTAAAGTGAATATATAGTACAAATTAAATTCATATTAAATGTCTAACCAAAAAACAATTTCAGCGGTAAACGTCACAGTTCTCCGATGTTGCTCCAAAAACGTTGGTATCAGCTTAAAGAACTTACCAGAAGCAAGTTCTACAAATTTTGGTTCGAATACCGTGGGGATGCCAAGAATCTAGATAGAGCCAAAATATTTAAGCCAACGGAACTACAGATGGATATTGTTAAAACGTATTATATTTTTTATTAATTACTCTATTTAAATATTTTTTCCCAATAATACATTTATTGCAACTGCCAGTTGGGTTCATCTATAAGTCATTGTTATGGTAAAATCATTATCTGTAAATAAGTCCCAAGAAAAATATTTTATAGTAATAAATATTTTAGGGTTATAAATGTTTATAAGTTATAATTTTTTCTTTAAGGTATAAAGAAGTAGTGACGCAGCCGTTTCTTTGTTGGGAGGAATTGGTCAAAACGAAGAGAGTTGTTCTGCCGGAGGACTTTGTAAGTTCTATAGCAATAACTAATTATGTAAATTTATTTTTTTATATAATTATAAAATAATTAATTAATATTCTGTATTGATTTTAGGAGCGAGTTCGTCTGGAACTACAAAAGATGAACGTAACCGGTAAGCATAATATATAATATATGTATAAAGTAAAAATATTGATTCAATAGAATTAATGTATTATATTTTACAGAAGACGAGCCGGAACTCCAAGTTATAGAGCCACAAGTTGAAACTATAGATTTAGATGAAAGTAATGATGAATCGAACAAATCACCCAACAATAACGATAAAGATAATGCAAGTGATGGCAATATTGGCATAGTTAAGGTTGAGTCACTATCAGAACAAGACGACGTCAGTGTGTTAGAATCTGTGTACATACCTGCAGAGAATCCTAGAATAAATTATGTTAATGAAGTAGAAGTTGACGTAATAGGAACAAGTGATGAACAAATCATGCCAAAAATAACATCAGTAATAGGAGCTGCTGATTTACAACCTACAGGGAGTTTGGATAAAGCCAAAGAACCTGAAATAGATTATATAGAAATAGAAGTAGATTTAGGGCCTAGTTCAGAAGCCACGGCTCAAGTCAACGAAATAATAGAGGATATCGTTACAAAAGCAGTTGATAGCAATCATATTACTGAAACGGCTAAAACCACCAAAAATTCCACGCCTGATGTTAGCAAGAACATCGAAAAATTGCAAGCTAATATAGATTTGGAAATAGATAAAGATGAGACTGATCAGAAAGATAATATAAAAAAGGCAGATGATAATGTCAATGTTATTAATGATATGGATTTTGGATTCCCAAGTGATTTCAACTCTCTACAGGACTTAATGGAGTTTGAAGATGATGGTATCGAATATGTAGAAGAAGATTATACGTCAGGTAAGTTTAGAATTATAGATAGGGCATTAACACCCAAGTCAAATGTACATAACTCAAATGTACATTCATTATAATGAGTTGTTTTGCGCTTAATATTTGAGATAGTCCCAAAAAATACCTCCAAAAATTTCAGAACCGTCTGAAGCAGAAAAAAATTATATATGATATTTGTTTCAGAACCGCAGTCCATAAGAAAAAGATCGTACGAAGAAACAAAAGATACGACAGAAAAGGAATTAAAAATAGACGAAAAACTACTTCTAACTCCGCTCGTGTATACCAAAAAACTTGATGATATGGATGTATTCCGATTCCTAGATTACAATTCGGTTACGGATAAGCGTGTCTTAGAAAATGCGACTCTAGAAAGCAAACCTATATTTATGAAAACGATTGAGAACACAGATAATACACAAGAGAACGAATCTGAGGCGGAAACTGATAGTAATGACAACGAAGAAGCTGAAAGCGCTATAAATTTATCAAGTTGGTACTTTCAAAAACCTAAAGTGAAAAGTTACAATCCCATACAATTGTGTAAAAATCCGGATTTTAATACGAGATTAAAAAGACTGCCAGTCGCTTTTCATGTTTCCGAACGAAATCGATTGCAATTGAAGCAATGCAAGCCCCTAACCATCGATCTCCACAAAGCATTTGAAAGTTTGCTCGTTGACAATACATTATATTTGCAAGGTGATAATCAGAACTCTTGTATAGCAAACGATCATGAGGATATTCCTGTAACAAATGAGATTGAACCCCCGAAAATAATTGATTCTATTAAAGAAAACTCCGTCGAAAGTAAAGAAGTCGGTTCGAAAGTACAACCCGAAACACATATAGAAAGAAATAAAGTTATAAACTTGCCTGATATAGATCAAATACGTCGTGTTAACCAAGGTCTTCTGATTGCTGAAGTCTCACCAATTCTAATATCTGATACAGTTCATGAAACAGATGTTGTCAAACCACCGATTACATTATTAAAAAGTTATCAAGAAGCTTCACACGATACAACAGCCATAAGTGTTACTAAAAATAGTTATGAAGTTAAAAATATTAGTGAAGTTGAAGACATTAGTGAAGTTAAAAATAATAAAGAAGTTCAACATATTGAAGTTGAAATAATGAGTGGAGTTGAAAATACAAATAAAGTTGAAAGTATTAATAAAGATCAAAATATCAATGAAGATGAAATTATCGTTGACGTTGAAAAAATCGATGAAGTTGAAAATACTCATAAGGGATTTTCATCGGAAATAAATTCAACAATACAGAATGACATTAATGGAATACGTGAAAAGGAATATGATTGTATTGACGTAGAAGAAAATGAAATAACACAAGCAAATGTTACAGAAGATAATTCAAAACAGATAGAAAAAGTACCAAAATCAAGCAGCAACAAGGCAAAACGAATTAAAATAAAACCAAAATCAACTTTTAGGAAACATATGGCGTTATCGTGGTATCCGAAAGTACCGACTTTAAATTTGAATTCAGGTGATTGTCTCTTAGCCGCTGATACGGTTGAGAGAATATTGAATGTATGCCAGGACGATTACGTTCCAAGCGTAAATCTACCTCCAAAAAAGAAAAAGACTTTCATGCAAACGAACGTAACGAATGTCGAGGAGCAAAAGAACGAAGAGGTTGCTACTCCACCAGTGGAAAGTGAGAAAGTTGTAGAAAACAAATGTATAAACCAGAAATTTGAAAAAGATAAACCGCATAAGAAAAGCAAAAAAAATAAAAAGAAACGTAGTACCGTCACTACAGACGTCAAGAATATTTGTTGTTGGGCGCGTCATAAAACAAACAATTTCGCAAACCGTAATACAGTGAAACATTTATGTCGTGAGAATCAATGTATTTGTTGCTGTAAAACTGACCTCGAACTTAAAATACAAGAAGAAATAAAGAAAAATGAATGGATAGTGCTATCTGATGAAGAGCCTGTTTCGAAGGTGTCTATTGGTATAAATACAGATTATGACCCAGAATTTGAAGAACAATTTGCAGCTAACCTCATTTTACATAACAAAAATCAATTACCCATTCCCACACCTACAATGAGATTGGTTTTCGGTAATCATAGAACCTTCAGTATTGATAGCGGGTGTCAGACATCAATGCTAAATTGTACTGAACCGCCGTCATCTCGCAAAATAACTAGTAATAATCCTGTTGAACCCAGTACAAAATTAGATAAGAACAAATTCCCAATAGGTCTTGGTAAAAATAAAATTTTGCTTTGTTCATTTAAATCTGCTGATGAGGCTGTTGGTGGTAAGAAGAGTAAAATTTTGAGTGCGAATGAAAACAATCAGAATGTTTTGCCTATGGGTTGTCAATTAGTACTATTACCTAATGGGGAACTTGTAGTGTCTATTGAGCCCGGTGTAGAGTTGGATGAAGAACAGATGTCTAAAGTAGAGACAATCTTAAAGTTAGTTCATAAAGAAATTAATATGAATCCAAATTATAAATCAGAAATTCCAATTTTGAGCAACGTAACTACGGTTGATCATCCCATAGGTCTCGAAATCTCGAAACATGGTGTTATTTTGAATCCTAATGATGCAACCCCAACAGAACTTAATATGGATGTTAGCTTAGCCACAAAAATAACAGAACCTGTTGTAGAACAAATAGTTTCTCGTACAGAAAATTCAAATAGTTTAACAGATCAAAATCAATCATCTGATTCAAAAACTATGGATAATGAATCAACCACTGAAAACAGCGATAACCCAGGAGCTAAAAAGAAAACAATATTATCAGATTTAATGCAGATGTCTGGTATTTCTACGGACGACGTGAATGTCAGTAATGAGACGACCACAAATGATACAAGTTTACCGAAAATTCTAAATGTTTCATCATTGTCTGAAACTCAAACTCCTGTCGTTACAGCAGATACACTCCAAAAAGAATACAATAACGTATCCATGAGAGTCACCAGTGAACCTATTTTCAACAATTCAATTGTTCGAGCCGCGTTAATGAGATGCCCTGAATTGAATATAGTGACATCATTTCCCGAATTAAAATATGCTTTCAAAAATAACGCTCAATTCTTTAAAATGGACATCAAGACAGGAATAATTGTTCCCATAAATTTGTGCGTAAAGAAGAACCAAAAAAATTCAAAGAAAAAGAAAGATGTTTCAAAAGCACCACAAGTAATTGACTTAACTGAAGGTGATGTTGGTGAAAAACAAAATCTGTGTACTTCAGAACAAATGTCGAATGATTCTGAACAAGCTTGTAATGATTCAGAAAAAGATTTAAATATATCTGTTGCGAAGCCAAACAACGAAATGGCTGAACCACAACCAACTGACAGTCTATGTGCCGGAAGTGACGAAAATGAGCAAAACAATTTAGATGAAGAACAAAACTGGTCCGTTAAACCGATCAAAATGTTTAAAGCCTACCATCCATCCATACTAAAGTATTCCAGTAAGAGTATTCTTTGCCGTCCTTTGAAAAACTCCGATACAACACCTAATATAAGAATTATTAAACACAAAAGAAAACAAGATTTAATTGCCAAAGATACAAATGAAGAAACTTCAACCGGTGTAATTACATCGAAGATAACTGAAAGCGAATATGATTCTGATGATGAACCGTTATCTAAAAAGTTGAGACGAAAAAGTTATATAAATCAACCAGATATGAATAAAACAACTAACTCCCAGCTGGCGAGGCATGAGAATAAGAGATATAACTTATCGTATACTGGTTCCAGTTTAAAACCTCACCTGGAACCGATTCTCTTTGAAGATAACGATAGTCAAACCTCTGGTGATGACTGTATACTTGGCGTTTAGATATAACTATTACTTTGTTATAGTTTTTTGGAAGTTATAAGATGATCTCGTGCTTTAACTTTGAAGTTTGAGTTTATTAAGATATATCCTCAAAAGCTGTGATAGCGTTGTTTTTGTACAGTTAGTTCTTAAGATTTTATTGTTAGGTATTCATTATTAAATTATTTTTAGACAATACATAATGAAAACAACGTTCATAGTAATTCGTTTTTGAGAAATTAAGTTTTCTATGAATATATTATTTAGATTTTAATCTCTGCTCGAGCTATTGTTTTGGAAGTTTAAGTATTTTTTGTGTAAATGAAAAGCGGCCTTCATTAGAATGATGAATTAGAGATAATAAGAATATATTTCTTTCGGCCGATTTCATTACCCTATATAACTCTCTTGGTACGTTGTTGTACCGTGTTTATGTATAAATAAAAAAATAAACCATTTTGAAAACAATACTTTATTTTCATTCCTGATATTCATTTCAAAATTACACTTTTACCTAAAATTATAACGAAATATATCATAACTACAACTAAGTTTTGACGTTTAAATAAGAATTCGATATTTAAAAAATGTACATTAAAAAAAATACAGAAAAAAGGTTGATATTGCCTTAACTTCCACAATTCCATGGCGAATAGAAGTAGCGTAGTATAAATAAATAAATAAAAACAGAAAAAGTTTTATAATTTATTTATCTAATAACAACATTAAATGCATTCGTAGCAGCTATTTCTATTTCTTTGTGTATTTTATTAACTTCTGCTTGTGTCAATGTGCGTTCTAAATGTCTGTACACGATGCTGTAACATAAACTGTGTTTCTTTGTTTTAGGATGAACAAATTTGTCCTTTAATGTAACCTGAAAAAAAAATACATTTTTGACATTTAGTAAAAAGAAATTCAAAATAGAAATGTTGCCAGAGACTTGATATATTTTTTTTAAAGTAATTAATTTCAGGAAATTAACAATAATATAATTATATTAATCTATGAGAAACAGACCTGTTCTATAACATCACCTCCTATATCTCTGACTAGATCATAAAAATCATTATTCATAAATGTTTCCACAGTCAATGTTGGTGGCAACCAGAACGACAGATCATTTTTACACTGAGGGTAAACAGAGACTGGCTTGTATGTTATCTTTGCATCAACATCCTTATTCTGGAATTGACTCAGAAACCCAGAATCGGTGCTCCACATGAGTCTTATATCTGGAATTTTGTATAACGCCATAGCCAGTCTTTCCAAACCGAGTCCGAAAGCATAAGCTATGCTATTATTTGATCCAGCATTGACCATAATTTCATTCCTTACAATACCACAGCCCAAAACTTCCATCCAATTATTCTCGTAATATATTTCTAATTCCCATGATGGATGAGTAAATGGGAAGTACGCCTCAACCCACCTATATTGTATACTTTCACCAAATAATACTTTTACTAGACCAATTAAATGATTCTTTAGTTGTGTTTCCATCATCTTTGAAGCCTCCAAGGTATGACAGCTTTGTTTGGCTGGGTCTGATATGGAGTTGGTGAAAGCATTTGGATTATTTGGATCATATATTGGTTCAAATATGTTCAGGTCGGGATGATTCTCAAAAAGTTGCTCTCTGAGTTGAGATCTCACAGCATCAACCTGAAATATACAAAAAGTCAGATATACATTAAATAAAGATATTAAAATCACTTATATATCTGAAAAAAATCATATGATTGTAAATTTATAATGTCCAGATAAAAAAAATAGTATATTTAAACTGAATAAAATAGTTGACTTCTTAGTTGAGACTTGTGAGCAAGTATATAAGCCAGATAGGGATTCTTGGTGCAAGCAGGATATTATTTTTATATATCCATATAAATTTATTTATAGTAAACCATCATTCACAACACTCCTGTCTTGATAAAAACCAAGTACAAAAATATACTCACTTGGTGAAAAACAGGAAAATGAGTTGAATCTATTTCATCTCTTCTATACACATCTCCGATCATCAGGAAGTTGTCGAGACCTGATCTGAGCAATTCAGTTTGATGAGCCGTCATATGAGCTCGGAGCAATACGGATCTGTTCACATAATAGCAATCAGATTTTGTTCTACTCGGATGGTCTTCGGGGATTAATAAATCATCAAAGTTTTGCTTTGTAGTGACCACAGGAGGTAAATTATCATACACACTGAATGACGGATTCCCTCTATTTGTAAAGGATTTGTAAAAATAATTCACTATTCGTTGTCTGACTAACGAAAGTGGATTGTCTTTTTTTAAATGTAAGTTGCGATTTAAATATGATATTATTTTTGGTGTCACGTTTGTGTAGTCATCTGTAGGATAATCTTTTTCACCAACACGTAAAACCGACAGAGATTTTGGTGCGGTGCTATAGTTTTTTATTAGTGTATTAGATAATCGATTTAGTTGTAATAGAATCTTCATGATTTCTGGACATATGATAGTGGATGTACACAAAATTAAATTTGACTATTAACGCAGCATTAATGAAGCACTTTCTACATTAATATAATTCATGTTATTATAAATCGATAGCCTTTTAAAATATATGTATATATATATTTGGTTATTGAGATATTGTGATAATTAGATAAATTCTTGAATTACTGTCATTGTTACATTGACATAAATCGGATATTTTAAAGATTTATTTCGGTTTTCTTTGTTGCATATAATAAAACAGATATTAGTTTAACTTTATCCACCTATTAAGTTTTTTTTTTCCTACGTTGTGTGTCGTTGAAATTCTAATCTTTTTATTACTTTTTTAAAATAATCATAATATTTATTTGCTAATAAATTTGACAGACGCTAGGTGGAAAAGACAATTGAAGTTGATGCCTGGCCCCTGGTGTCTTATTTAAGTTATCTAACCTATGAAATTGTGAATTGTTGTAATATTGTTTCTTTCTTAAAAATATTTTGATAATATTATTTTTTTAAAATGATTCCTAAGCGTGTTCTACATTTAGCACAACTAAGTGTTGTTGGTTTAGCGGGATATTATATTGGACTGAAGGATAAAATATTTGAAAATAACGAGAACACTGTTTTGCTAAATGGCAAAACATTGAAAAGTATGCCGGCTTTACCAATTTTTGGCACAGTTTCTGCAGCAGTGCCATATACAGACGGTGGACATGTAAAAGACAGGGTTTGTTTCATTCATCTTTTCATGTTTATTTAAAAAAACGGATGTAACCTTTTTTGTACGCTTCAGATAAGTGTTAACTTATTATTAATTGACTAAAATTAAAGTCAACAAGAGTATTTTCATCTAATAAAGCTCTTTTTAGGTGTCCCAGATAATGAAATATGGATTCCCTGGATTGGATAACGTTCGTTCTTATGACGATTTTGTTCTATCCTACGACCGTCGTAACAGAGTACCGAATTGGGTATTTGAACATATCACTAAGGAACATATTATGAAAAATGATGCTGTCGATAGGAGCAAGTGTGATTTCACTCCTGACGAGAGCATTCATCCATTTTTCAGGTAATTTTTATCATACAATAACGATTTATTAATAAATTTTACAAAACATTTCAGTCAAATTCATTACATATATATATAGATTGTTTACCTGCCAGTATAGTGTAATTCATACCCCAGTTCATAATATCTTTTTTGAAAGTATGTGCATTAAGTAGAGAGAGGAGCTTGGATAGTGGAGGTGAGTGCTTAACACGCATTAAATAAGGGGCCCCTTAAACCTACACCTGGGTCACAAGTCCCAAGCACTGTTGAAGCTCCTCCCCCTATAACACAATGGGCTTGCCACCTTCACAGTGAATCCATTGAATGCTAAGAATTTTTGTCTCATAATATGTAATCTTATTTATGTATAGGTCTCAGAACAGTGACTACAAGGGATCAGGATTTGACAGAGGCCATATGGCTGCAGCAGGTAATCACAGATTAGCACAGAAACATGTTGAACAAACATTCTTCCTCACAAATATGGCTCCGCAAGTAAGACTCATGAATTAATTATTTGGAAACCTAAAGTCAAACATAACTTTCAATGAAAATTAAATATCCTCAGGTTGGTGAAGGATTTAACAGACATGCATGGAATCGCTTAGAGAAGCATGTTAGAAAACTGACAAAAGTTTATGACAATGTATATTGCTGTACTGGACCTTTGTATCTACCTAGGTATGGATTACAATTATAATATTTGTAGTATTAACTACTATATTAAATACCTAATTTGTATTGTGCTAAATAGCAAGACTGAAATCATATTATTTAATAATACCAATCAAGTATCTTAATATACAACAATATTTCAATGGCTTTTGAGTTAACTGACATGAACCCAAAGATAGTAATTTGCATGATATTTTTACTTAGGAAATTTCAGTAATCCTTAACTGTATCCTAATTTAAAATATTGTAGGAAAGAATCTGACGGCAAAATGTATATTAAATACCAAGTCATAGGAGCTAATACAGTGGCGGTACCCACTCATTTTTATAAAGTAGTTGTTGGGGAAGCATCCGATGGCAGTCTTGATATGGAAGCATATGTGATGCCGAACCAGAAAATACCTGACGAAACACCCGTTTCTTCATATATGGTGAGATTTTCAACTATATATATTTATATTTTCTTATAGAGATCTAACTTATAATTATTTGCTTCACATACAAATTGAAATGTTTTAGCTTGAGATATGTATTATTTTTGTCTACACACATAAAATGAAATTATTTTTTAGAAAGTATGATGTAGTTTATATGAGATGAAATAACATAGTTTCTTTTTAAATGTGTACTCGAGAAAATCTTTAGATATGTCAAAAAAATGATTTTATGTATAGTTTTTTTATAAACATGTACTTTTTTCTTCAGGTGCCTCCCGAAACTATAGAGAAGGCAGCGGGATTATTATTCTTCGACAAAATACACAGGAGTAAATTGAATAGAATAAATGGCAAGAAAGTTTAGAAAAATTTTCTCTTAACAAATAGTCAAATATTATGTGCAATATCTAATTGTAAGTTGTAAATAATGTAAAAAAATTCATAAATACTGTTGATGTTTTTAAATATTTAATAAAATTATGCAATTTACTAATCATTATATTTATTTCTATTCCAAAGATGTCTTTTTACAAAACGATTAGTTTTTCATCACATATAAGTGTGGTGTAACATAATAAAAGTAGTGTAGTGTATAAAACATGTATATATTTAGACGTTATATATAGTTTACAAGGATGTAAATCAATTCTCATCAGTGTCATCCGAAGCTCCGTTCTGTTGTGGCTCTTCATCCATACCAGCATCACCCATGCCTGGAAAGATTCATCGACAATTTAAGCAATCTCACTTTAAGTTGATTTAAAAAATGCAAGTTTTATAAATGAGAATTTTTTTATTAGTATCAAAAAAACTTATTACGTGGCTTACTTATGTTTCCCATATTTATATGCACTTTTTTCTGTGCATTTAGGATAGATGTGATCAAAAATGTTAGATTTAAGGTTTTAATGTAGAAAATTAATTATGGATGGTGTGCAAGTACATATATCACATTTTCAGTTAAATTCATAAAGCATGTAAGACACTTTAGTATTCAATTAAACTATTATTGGTATTTGCACTGCAAGCATTTAATATAATAATATAATATAATAATGTAAATTATATACAAAAGTGATCTACCCAAATTATACTTGACATTATATTATTTAACATTACCGACCAAACTAATATTTTTCGTAAGTACTACGCGACTTTATTTTGGATAAAAACTACATACTCCCTACGTTTCGGCTACTTTTCAGCAACCGTGATCACGGGCAGACTAGATGTGAATATCTGCCAGTTGGTCTTGTTATTTATCAGCTAAGAGTCAAACGAAACGAAACGTCGGGAGTATGTAGTTTTTATCAAAAACTAGATGACCCAGCAAACTTCGTAGTGCCTCAGTCGAGAAATAAATAATTTCTTATTTATTTTTTTGGAGTTTACCTATTAAAGCCATAAATCTTCGTGTTCTGAAGTGCGACAGAATGATTGACATATTAGTTCCTAAATCTAATATCAAAAAAACGTTTGTATGGGAAATAGAAAAGCGCTGTTTTTAGGGTTTTCCCGGAAATAAATCAATTTTTATCAGCTTTTAAACCTTCCCTGAAACTTCACGAACATTTCTAGACTAAGATAAGATAAATCCGTTCAGCCGTTCTCGAGTTTTGGTGAGACTAATGAACAGCAATAGATTTTTATATACAGGGTGACTGGTGAATTACTATCGATATTTGAGGACGTGATATTTGACGATCATATATGACAAAATAAAAATTAATATAACATAAATATTAATAAACTTCTAAGTAAAGTTAACCAAAAGTTATGTAATTAATTACGCATCGTGTGAACACCCTACAAATTAGGTATACACACACACACACACCAACACGCGTGCGGCGGCGTGGTGTTGTATCAGCACGCCGCCGCACGCGTCCACACTTGGAACACTTGGAACGTGTCCACACTTTATTTATTTATACGGAAATTTGGTCAAAAATTAAGAACCTATTTTTTTTACATAATTCGAATGAGAATCATGTACCGAGTATTCTCCTTAAATATTGATAGTAATTCACCAGTCACCCTGTATATCAAAAATAAAGTCGAGTAGTATATCCGAAATAGGTATATTAATTTCATTAAAATGAATATTCGCGAAAATCTTAGATCTCATTATTACCCACCAAATAATCTGATACATGTAACATACCTTGGTCTGCGTCCTCTTCAGCCGAGTCACCAGCAACTTCTGCATTCTCAGCCTCGGCACGTTCCATCTGTCTTGCCAACTCTGCTTCATCAGTTGCGGTGACAACCTTGGGCTGTTTATAAAATTGATTGTCATTTTATTCATATATTTTTAAGTAAAACTTATTTTAATCACTGGGGTTTTTATTTCAAATGAGTATATATTTGAATATATTTTAAGAATGATATATATTGAAATACTAGCTATTTGCTGCAGCTTTGCCGACATATTAACCTTCTCAAAATATATTTTAGTTTTAATTATATTTCTCAACAAAACTTATATTATATTCAGACTAAATATCTCATGACATTAAAATCCGACTAAATAGCTCATGATAATATAAGAATATTTTAATTTGTGTATGACTTAGAGACACTTAAATTTTATTTATAAGTATTAATGACTGTTGAGTAATTAATGATAAATAAGAGCAAATGACACACCTACCAGAAAAGTAGGGCATTCTAACTCTAGTATGTTCTACTTATACCTATTTTGCCCATGGTGGATATAATATTAGGTAGACTCAAACTGTACATCTTTTTATCATAAATTTGTAGTTAATTGATAAGTATATGGAGGAATAAAGCAATATAGTTGCATTGTATTATATCATTTTGATGAGAGAGAAACAGTTACTTCTCCCTCTTACCATTGACAAGCTTTTCATGTAGTTAAAAAATATATACAAAATAAATTTTCGTAATTATTGTTTGTCTGTATTACTAATAAGTCTTTAACATGAAATATATTTTCATGTGATACAAGTTTTGACTGCAATGAATGTATAATTATACAGGGTGACTGGTGAATTACTATCGATACTTGAGGCCGTGATATTTGACGATCATATATGACAAAATAAAAATAAATATAACATAAATATTAATAAACTTCTAAGTAAAGTTAACCAAAAGTTATGTAATTAATTACGCATCGTGTGCACACCCTACAAATTAGGTATACACTCACACACACATACGCGTGCGGCGGCGTGGTGTTGTATCAGCACGCCGCCGCACGCGTCCACACTTGGAACACTTGGAACGTGTCCACACTTTATTTATTTATACGGAAATTTGGTCAAAAATTAAGTACCTATTTTCTTTACATAATTCGAATGAGAATCATGTACCGAGTATTCTCCTTAAATATCGATAGTAATTCACCAGTCACTCTGTATATAATAATCAAATTATTTATAATTACTCACAGCCATCTGAATGTTGAACACTCCACCGGCAGTGGTAATAGTATCTTTGATTTTATCGATTGCATCTTGCAAAGCTTTGAGGCCATCAGTCTTCTCCGGGGTTGAAGTTGTCATTACTGTAGAAAAGAAGTAAAAACATAACATATTATATCAAATATCAGCGGTGGCCTAGTGGTTAAAAGGCCCGCCTCTCATGCATCAGGGTGCGGGTGCGATCCTGGCCCTGGCAAAGTATCAATGTGATTTTTCCGAGTCACATGTACTTTCTAAGAGTATTTAGACATCACTGATTGATACATTCCAAAAGAGGGTTGATGTCAGGTAGGCGGCTGGTCTTAAAAAATAATTAGCCAAACACACATTCACAACATGTAAGGCAGACCATGGCTAAAGCTGGGAAATTGCCAGGTAAAAGAGATTGTAGCATTCAAATAATCATTAAATTTACTTACAACATAGTTAGTTTTATGCAATTTTCTAAGTATGTTTAGTAATGTTTGATAATATTATAATTACCATATAAAGGTGGGGCTATGAGATTGATTTTGATGGGCATGTCTGGTGTTGATAGAGACAAGCCGGCCTTCAACGCTTCTTTCACTGCGTCAATACCCTCGTAACCGTAGCAGGCACATTCAATATCAGCTCGGATCTTCACAGCTTGGGAAGTCAGTTTCCGTTTGATGTTAGCTAATAGAACCTCCTTGGTTTTCTCATCGAGACCACATTCATTGAGTACAGAGGGGTCTCTGAAATCATTAACATAGAAATTAGATATACTAGTATATAATTTTAAAGTTATTAATTGCTTCAATATTAGTTTTATTAAATATTTAAATTAACATTAGAATATTAGTGAAAAACAATATTTATAATGTTTAGGAATATTTTGAAATTAAATAACAGGAACTAATACTCACACAGCCGCCTGTTTAAAGAAATCATAAGCTGATGCTTTCTTTTTATATTTCTCTTCGAAATGCCAAGCTGTTTGTTTATAAAGCTCTTCTAGCTGTTCCGAGCTTTGGTAATGCAGAAGTTCAGCTACGTGACGCAAAATTGAGTTCACGGCTTTAGCTTTGGCGTACCTCTCGGTACATTTGTCAATATCCTCGGCTGATACACGACGTTTTGACAAATCAATGTAACCTGCATACATAACTCTGTTAGATGTCTTTTTTTATTGTAATTCATTAATAATATGTACGGAACACACCTTTTTCTTTGTCTACTCTGATAACTACGACCGGTTCTGTCTTGCCTACTCTAATCAACTTGTTTATGGAACGGATACGTCTTCTGGACAATTCAGAAAGCAATATCATGCCCTCTATATTGTTGTATTCGAGCAGATGAACGTACGCGCCCATCTCCGCTATAGACCTAACGTTCACCATCACCACATCTTCTACTTCTGGATATTTTTCTTGATAAAATCGACACGACAACGGCATCTGTAACAATTATAACCTATACGTATTTTTGTTGCTTTTAAGTTTGATAACAGAAAATAAACTTATTCGATTTTGGTACCTTGATTTATGTGTTTCTATTTTAATATAAATATTTGAGATGGTTTTGAATTAATGACGAAATAATCAAATCGTTCACGTTGACTACAAAATTCGTCAAGATTGACACATAGTATTAAGTGTTGCCTTCTATCCTTTTACAATTATAAAAGGATTCGTTTAAAAATAATATCAAATAGTATTTTTTGTACTATGAAGAATGTTGTATATTATTTAATTTATTAATGTTAAAAAGTAGGAAAATTGACACGTTTTTAAAATTAAAAGTTTACGACTAACTATTAATAAATTATTTCCGTAAAGCACTGTCATTTTAACTGCATAGTTCTGAGGGCCACTTTGTGATTAATAGCAATCATTGAAGAGGTCCAATGATCATGACCGCTATGCTTGCAATGCATTATTAATTGAAGTATTTATTTGTTTATTTTATTTAGATTCCTGGAAAGCTATTAGGTTGATTATTATTGTGATTCAGAGAGATAATTTATCAAGAAACAAGAATTTTCGTTTCATGTAAAGTTTGTGTATCATTTATATGACTTTTTTGCTTTAAATATTTTTTGTAATTTTCTATCAACATTGAAACACTTCAGAAACTCTTAAAGAAGCATTTGTTGAGTCATTGAATTACATTGTTATGAAGTCAAATCCAGAATTAGACATAACTAGAACAAGATCATCAAGATGCCTAGCAATAATTAAAATTGAAAGAGGATACATAGCGTTAAGATTAGATTGTAAATATTTCATTCACTGGGAATATCATTCAGAACACAGAACTATACAGGAATAGGCATTAAACATGGTGACAGACAAAATTAATTGATATATATCACTGCGACCGCAAATCTCAGTGCGTTGATTAGCCAAATGGTCAGTTATTGATACACCTCGGTGTTTAATGGGTGCTGCCATACAATAAAATGAAATTTTTGAATTAATTTGTCCCAAAATGAATGGATTCTGGTAAGTTCGAAAATATATTTCATTGGTAATTTTTTTTATTTCAAAAGAAGTAATGTTAAGTAGGGTTTTAAAAAAAATTATATAAATCTTATGATTATCATTAAATTTGTAAGTTTTTTAAATAAATATAACGATTTATGCATGACGTAACAAACGTCATGTAACGAATAAAAATTGGTTTGATTAAACATTTTTTACATTTTAAATCTTGATAGTAAATTTGTTTAAGTAAAAAATGTTATCCTCAAAAGTAGCATAATTTTTGTACTGATATTTTTGTATTTAATCACACTTTTTAGTACGTTCATTTGTTCTACTTTTTATTTAAATGGTACATTTGCATATTGATTTAATATTTTTATATTTTATAACTATGTTTTTGCGCTTCTACTTCATAGAGAACTTTCACATGTATACACTACAATAAAAATTCAAATGTTAAAAAAAAATTACGACGGATCAGAATGAATCATTGAAAAACTTAAATAAATTTCAAACATGTCTCTTTTACAAATATTATCTCCTATATATATTATATAAATTCTTCATTGTCTTACATTTTCTTCGCGTTATTTTAGTTTATTTTCATAATCGTCAATCACTGTTTTTAAACGTATACAATTTAAAAAAAATTACCTATAGGTACTGAAAGGGTGATATAATTTAAATTGCCTAGTTTAATGTTACAACAGACCCCCGAAGGTCTTATTAAGTGGGACATGTTTTGAAGGTCAATTATTTGTTAACCCTGCATCGATTGATCCGAGAAAATTGGGCCGCGATCTCCTATTGACTGTGATTGCCTGTTTATTGCTGTTTAATTTAAAACTATCAAGGTAAATATTTATAGCATGCAACACTTAGTTGCGTGAGTATAACGGCAAAAAGAATTTGAATTATTTGTTTTTGGACTTATTATTTACGATATAGTTTTGTTAATGAATACTGATAAATTAAGTTATTCTGTGATGGCTTTTGTTAAGATAATCACCTACGAAAAAAGGATTGTATGAATAAAGTGTGAATATCACATGACCATGCTGACTCCGCAGTACTCCTGGTCGTGTGAACCAGAAGTTTCCTGATAACACGAAGAATATGATGGCATTGCTATTCTAGTCTAGACTATGTATTTATAGGTATAGTTTATAAGTTTTCTTTATATAATATGTTTTATAATATAATATTTCAAGATGTTTTTGTAATTTTCATGGAATTTCTGACTGATCGTTAACCGAACCGAAATAAAACTACATTTTTAAATACAGAAGTTATAATATTTTTAAATTTATATAGTGATGTGATTGATAGACTGTAGTTCTGTAGTTCATATTATACGGTAGTGTCATATATTTTATTTGACAAACGTCCCTTTTAAATAAGTAAAATAGACTTCTAGATTTGTTAACTTTTTAATATTCTGTCTTTTATATCTTTCTTAATTATTTTTCTGACTTAATGTAATTTCATTAGGGTAATCTTTCGGCTGTTGTAACTACATAGAATACATTTTTATATAAAATGTATCCTATTGTATCGTACGAGTACTGGAATAAAACTATGCTATATCAATGTTATTGGAGGAATATTAGGGATGTGCGTTGTTACGATTTTTGAACTATCTATACTTGTGAAAGATTACAAATCAAAGATGTGTATTGTTATAAAATTACTAAAAGTGATTTTATTTAAGACATTCCAAAGATATACATTTTATTAATCGAAATGAAAGAATAATTTCTTTAAAAATATTCTTGTGTATTGTGTTTGCACTTTAAAAATATTCTTGTGTATTTTGATATGTAAGATCTCTATTTTACACAAATGTTTGGGGTAAACCATAGCCACAATGATCTGTATGCTTAGAGCAATTTTGCATTATCGGAGAGTTAGTAATTTTCATTATACGATGTATAAGTCATAAGATACGTCATAATTTTTCTTCAGAAATAATGAATGGATAAATTATATTAAAAACATAAATGATTTTAGATATACTCTATCGAATAGCCCTTGAATTGAATTATATATGTTTTTTTCCTTGTATGTAATTGTGTTTTTCTATTTTAGGGTTATTTTCTTTCTTTTGGGAGCGTTATTCAAACATGGAAGCAATGGAGATGCAGGTTAGATATTTATAATTTAAACCTACACGCATAATTGTAAAGACTATATAAAAACATTACGCCTTTTGGGTATATACTATTGCTTTAAAATTAACAGATATAACGAATTTAACTGGCTTATACTAATTATGATTGTTTTATAACTATAATGGAAGTTTGATTACACATTTTGTTTAAAGAAACGAGTACAGCGTCGCCGTTAAACGCCTGCTTGTCACTCCGTCCTGGAGATATAGACTTCCAATCAGTTGATCTGATAGCGGTTTATCGTTTGGATGGACCTGATACAACAGGAGTTACCTTGGTGCAAGGATCCCAGGACCTGCAAAGAGCCTACCGAGTTGGGGATGGAGCGAATCTTACTTTGCCTTTACGGTAACGGAAAATTTAATGTTATAAAATTGATCTTCTTAAACTGTGGGTCGCGACTCCAAATGGGGTCGAGAGATTTTAATGTCATATATATAAAAATATTTTATAATATCACAAGAATTGGCGGTAAACAGTGGACTTGCAGCGTCTAGACATACGTATTTGTTGCATTGTTACAAGTGGCTCTATCTGTGACGTACTAATTATAATATACTTAAAATTATTTTTATGACTGATTATTATAATTAATTGTTATTAGTAGTGGTTCCAGCCATTTTGTAGGATATTATTGGAAGTTACTTATATATATTATAATATTTCATTACGTAAATATTTTTCATAAATTAAAAAAATCTTTTTTTTGTATTAATTAACTTGTATTAATTAACCATGAATTATATGAATATAAGAGTAACGTTTCAAAATAATAGTTATAATCTTGTTGAAATCGCTACTTCAACCACAATATATAGCCAATTTAAAATCATTCCGACAACTTCTAAGTTTGAGCATCAAATAGATATTAATATTTATAGGATAATATAAAAAGATACGATTATGTACATTTTTAGCATTAGTAGATACATTGGACGTGTAAGAACAACATAATTAATTGTCGTCTTAAAATAACATAATTCTAACATAAATGAAACTAATATGTATTTTCGAATTACTAAACGTTATTTTATTATTCTTAAAACCACATACTCCTGAATTTTCGGTTACAATAACTGTCTAACCCTCATCACATAGCTGCAAATTAACTGAAATTTGGGGAGTACGTAGTCAGTAATTCAAAAATATTAGTTTCATTTAAATGAATACTCGCGAAAGTTAGAGATTTCATTCATTCTAACTTATTTTATACTGCTTATGTTTGTTTTTCTTCTAGCGAGGCGCTACCAGCGGGTTTACCTTCCACGTTTACCATTACGTCTACCTTCAGAACCAACAACCGCCGACCTTGGAGTCTTATCAGAGTTCGATCATCTTCTCTTCTATTCTCTATAACTCTCTTGCCAAACGTTAAGAAGATGGCTGTCTTCGTTCAGGGATCACGGGTTGTGTTCTCTACGCCCACAGTAAGTTATAGCATCCCTACTAATATTATAAATGCGAAAGTAACTCTTTCTGTCTGTCTGTTACGCTTTCACGCCTAAACCACTGAACTGATTTAAATGAAATTTGGTATAGATATAGAGTTGACCTTGAAAAAGAACAAAGGATAGTTTTTATCCCAGACTTTTGAAAGGTTCTTTTGGAAACGCGATATAACCGAACTCCACGCGGGCGAAGCTGCGGGCGGAAAGCTAGTATTAAATAAAATCAAATAGTTTCCGAGTCTACAAGATCTACAAGAATTCGTGTTACAAGTGGCTGTTTGACTGTTTATAATAAATTATAATATTCAGCCATTGTAATTTTGTAATGGCAACATTTAAGTGTCTACCTATATTTGAAAACCATAAATACTGGCTTCAGTTATTTTGTAAGACATTACTGGAAGTAACGTTGAACATTAAAAATTAAGTCTGAATCTGTACCTCGAATACTTATTATATAGAAGATTATTAATTTATATTTTATGTCAGAAATTAATAAATTTTTTTTTCAGCTATTCAAGCCGTTCTGGCACAAAGTTCACATAGCTATAGACAATGACACTGTACACGCGGCCATAGACTGTAATGAGGTAAGTGATCATTTATTAACTAATAATAGAAAATATTTGGTGACGTCACTTATGCTGACGTCACTTTTTTTTAAAGTGTACAGTGCACTTGTACAGGTTTCCACACAGGTGATATAATTTTGACCATCCATAAATATTTATTACGTACATAAAAGGTATTAGCTCTGATAAACATTTCGTTGAACTACGATATATTTATGTTTAATAAATTTCTTATTGAAATACTTACCCACGCTTTTCTTACGAACATTTTCTTTCATCATTAATCGGGTATTGGGAACTGACTCCAAATAGCTAAGGAGTCTTCAACATAAATTGTGGACTAATTCATCATTTTTATTACAAATCATTATAATTGAAGGAAGCAAATATATGTTTTGAGAATCCAAGTCGAAAGAGATACGAGTTGATATAAAAATTATTCTTATTAGACTTGATTTTTATTTTTTGTAGTTGGAGCCTGAATCAATAGGTGGATGGGACTTTGATAATGCGACCAGCATCAGTATAGTCTCCAACGATGATGGAACCCCAGCTCCTGTAAGTTTAATATAGTTTGTAGGCGAAATTAATACTACTGTTATAGAAAAGTACTATTAATTTCGGCTTATACCATATATGGAGCGTTTCCATAGGCAAATAACTTTGATGGTATGACGTTTGAAGATAGAAAAATGGAAAACATTTCGTATTTAATTCGATAAAGCAGACTTGTGGTAAGGATGTAATTGTTTTTAGATTTTGTTTTATATTGATAGCAATTATTGATTTTTTAGATATTATTACTTGAAGTATTATATATTTTATTGATTTTTGTAATAAATATGAGACATTTTTTTATTAAATTAAGATATTGGTTAGTTATAGTTAATTCCTAAATAAATATAACTTTGAATGAATTTACTCTAAGCGACTAATGAATACAATAGGAGAATATTATCGAGGAATCTATACATAATAAATAATTTTCTATTACAATTGTTACTCAGGTAGACCTCCAGTGGCTGTCATTGAGTTGCAATCGATATAACATAACAGAAGACAGTTGTGAAGAAATAGTAAGTATTGATAATAGAATTATATTGGTTCATTTCAAGAGAAATATTTTGTAGTTTTATAAAACAAGTTATACAATAACTAAAGTTTTCTAAAAGGAGTAACGTAGAAGTTAGAAGTAATTTCGAGTCTCACATTTGTTCAGATAAATCATATATCTTGTTTGAAATTGCGAACTTCCGACGATGTTTCAGAAATTTGGCTTGGCTAACGTTACATATAAACTTGGCTTATACTTTTTATTTTTATTCGTTACTTCCATTTAACTTTCTATCCGGTCGAGACCACTAAACAACAATGTATTGTCTTAGTGCTTTTACACTTTCCAGATGACCGTCAGTTCGCAATAAATGTAAAATATTTTAAAGTATTTTTACTTATTTGCATTATAACGTTCATTTCTAGGAAATACCGGAATCACTTATCGCAACCGTCACTCCTCCAGTGAGTATTTTTATTATATTAATACTATTTTATACTGTTTTAATATTAAATATTGAAATATTATTTCTATTTTAGATCGTAACACCGGGAGCAAACGACATTCCTCTTACATGTAATCAAACATGTCCACCAGTAAGTATATTATATAACAAAAATATATGAACAAAGTAATACTTCACATTGGCAAAATTTCCACGATTCCATTGCAAATGAAGTTACGTTAGATATGGCCCCTTAAACCTACACCTGGGTCACAAGTCCCAGGCACTGTTGAAGCTCCTCTCTACAACTATGGACGCGACACCCGCACGGTGAATCCATTGAATGCTGAGAAGTTTCGTCTCATAGTATCAAAAAATACATTATATATTTATGTAGATAATATGAAATTTAAAAAGTAAATATTTATTTTAGGGTCCAGTGGGTCCGTCAGGGCCCCCAGGAGAGATTGGTCCTCTTGGATACACGGGACTACCAGTAATTATATTTTTATTTATTAAACATAATTATTTTAAATTACTATACATTTCATACGATTAATAATTTTAAATGTTTAGGGGAAGCGAGGTGTGGACGGGCCTCCAGGCCCCCAAGGTCTGATGGGACCTAGAGGAGAAAAAGGAGATATAGGTCCCCCGGGCTCTGCAAGCAATGTTAGTAATGTAGTTTATCTAAATAAGTAAATGGTACAGATCTCTTTTAAGAGATACATTATCCATAGCATTATATTTATTTTATAATAATGTAACTATTTCTACTTTTGGTTCATAAATAAATACTTTATCATAACTAGGTATCCGTGATTGGCGCACCAGGAGAACCAGGAAGAAAAGGTTCCAAAGGTGACAAAGGAGATTTGGGAGAAAAAGGTACATTGTCTTATATTTACTCGGATAATCTATAGCTTAAAATGATTTTCTAGATTAATTTCCGATAATATCATTAAATTACAGGTATAAACTTTTATAGCACACTTTAAATACAAAAATATAACTTAGTTTGGTTTCTAAAGTAAAAGGTTGTGAATAATATGAAAACTTAAAACTTACTTCTTAATGAAAGTTTAATTTGTATATATGGCCCAGATTGTTGTTTATAAAGATGGATAAAATAGGATATATGAATGTATTTATTGATTTTTTCTGATTAAGGTGATAGGGGTGATGTGGGCCTTGTGGGTCTAGCTGGAGTCCCCGGCGTCGATGGGAAGGATGTAAGTATATATATCAAAATAATGACAATTTACATTAATTAATGTCATCAGCCTATCAGAGCCCACTTCTGAGCAAAGGCCTCTTTACACATAGAGAAGTTTTGAGCATTAAACACCACCCTTACTCAAGACAGATTGGTGGTTTTAAACTTATAATTGTGAAATTATAAGTCCAGGTTTTCTTACGATGTTTTCCTTCACCGTCTGTTAGTGGTGTCTGAATATTCTTAGAGAGCACATATGACTCGGAAAAATCACATTGGTACTCGCCAGGTTTCGAATCCGCGCCCTCATGCACGAGAGGTTAACCTTTTAACCTGTAGGCTACCACTGACTTAATGTGTTAAATAATTATTTGTAATTTAGGGTCCACCAGGTCCCGTCGGTCCTCCAGGCCCCCCCGGTGAACCTGGCCCTGTAGGTCCCCCAGGACCCGCCAGTAACGGATTTCTTCCTCTTGTGCAAGGTATTCTCATTTTGGATTCCTTTGATAAGTTCTCATCATGTTTATTTCAAATATTTCACATTTTAAGACATTCCTAATAGGTTTATACATAATATTTTCGTGTATGTCATGACGTTTAAAAAATATACTTGTTTGGAATGTTTAAAAATTTCATCTATAGTTCATGGGTAAATTTTGTTTAATATTTGCATATAAAAGAAAGTCGTGTTACACTATTTATAGCTCAAGAAAAGATTTACGGTTTATGCTGAAAATTGGTGGAGATAGTTTAGAACCAGGAAAAAGACATAGGATACTTTTCTTATGATCGAAAAAACAATTGTAATAATAAAATAAATTGATAAAAAGCAAAATCTTCTGATTAAGAAGAAACTAAATTCTTCCAATTAGCTATACGTTTTTAATTTTGATAATAACGCAACAAAGTCACGGGCAAAAGCTAGTACAATATAAATGTAGGTATATTATGTCTTAATTATTATTATATCTTCGGTAGGCAGTAAGGGCGAGCCAGGAATTCCAGGAAAGCCCGGGAGGGACGGCTACCCCGGAGTTAGAGGTTTACCAGGAATAGATGGAACACCGGTAATAATTAATACAAAACTGTAATTCTTTTTTTTATGTGAAAGGTGGTAAACGAGCAGACGGCCTACTTGATGGGCAGTAGTCACCGACGCCTATGGATATACGCAACATCTCTGTTGCGGAGGCATTGCTAATCTTGGTTTTTCAGGAATAGGGGGGTGGGAATAAGAATATCACAGGAAAAGGTGGGAATAGCGAAAGGACTAAGGCTCTCATACTCATCGGATGAAACGCAGCCATTAAAGGCTACTTCACGCCGATCTTCTGAAAGAGGGTGTTACTTCCCTTGTCGGGCAAGCCCATATTCGATCTGTAGTTACATGAGCTAGGCTCTACTACCTATAAAATTCTATTAATACATGGACTATATATAGGGTGTCCCAACAAGAACGCAATTTTTAAATTTTAAATAAAATACTGATATTAAAAAAAATATCGTGAAACTTTATTATATCGTAAAGTAGATCGAATGAGGTTATGTATGGAACAAGATATCGTGCAGATGGCCGCCGCGGCTCTGCAGGCACACGCGCGAACTTTGAATGAAATTTTCTAGGACCGTTTTGCATAAATACTGCGGTATTTCATTAATACAGCGTCCAATTTCCTCTTTTAAGGCTTAAGTCGTCGTCGGCTTATTCGCGTGAACCATCGACTTCAAAAAACCCCAAAGAAAATAATCTAAAGGTGTTAAATCGCACGATCTAGGCGGCCTATTCTGGTCTCCAAAACGGGAAATTACATGACCAGGAAATGACTGATGCAGCAATTGAATTGTTTCTCTGGCTGTATGACATGTGGCGCCGACTTGTTGACACCACATGCCGTCCACATTCATTTCTTGGATTCTAGGCAAGAAAAAACTGGTAATCATTTCACGATATCGAACACCATTGACTGTTTGCGCTGTTGTTGTTGTCTTTACATCACTAACAGACTCAGTTTCGGCAAATTTATTCATTAATCTCTTTACAGTTGACTCTTTTTGAGTAATTTGCGAACTGTAGCCGCAAAACTTTCACCATTTTGGTAAAACAATTTTACAATGAAAATGCGTTGTTCATTCGTGTAGCGCTCCATTTTTACAAACCTTGTACCTTCTACAAGCAAATAATAACAATTGTTCAAATGTCAAACAATGGCACTTAAAATGGAGCCAAAGTTAAAAATTGCGTTCTTGTTGGGACACCCGTTACGTGTTAAGAATGCATATGTTTCTATACTCAAATATATTATTATTTTTAGGGAAGCCCGGGTATCCAAGGGATGCAAGGCTTACCCGGTTTGCCAGGAGAGAGAGGTTTGATTGGTCTTCCGGGTACTCCGGGAGAAATGGGCCCTGAAGGTCCGTCGGTGAGTTTCTGAATAATATATGTATATGTTATAAAGATAGATATTACAATACTCTGTTTATTTGGTTTCAAGGGACCCCAAGGTCCGCCAGGTCTTCCCGGACCTCCCGGGCCTCCAGGTGTGAGTACATCAACAGCTGGCGTTAGCGTTCCAGGCCCTCCAGGTCCACAGGGTCTAATGGGTCCGGTAAGAAAACAAAACATTTTGTTGAATATATTATTTTATTTAGCTTTACATATGTGTTCACTGTATCTTTTCTTGCCTATCCTTATGTGCCTTGTCAATTTCAGAATACTAGGAATTAAGTGTTACGTATTTAACATATATTTAAGACATTTCAACACATTTAAAGCATGGGAAATAATAACTGTTGAAGTTTTTGTCTTCATCTCTTTTTAACTCTTGCATTTCAACTTATCACTGTTTCTGATAAATTTAATCCAGCTACAAGAATGATTCAGCGACCATACCTCAAAGAAGGATTTTTTTATCAACTGAGATTACAAATCCTCTCTACAGTTTTTAAATCACCCTTAGACTTTGATTTTTAGAAATGCTATATATCTTTTCTTTAGTTACATTATATCTTTATTGTTAATAATAAATATTATTTCATATCCTACTTTTATCTGGAATTTATTTTTCAATGGGCTATGGTGTACATTGTAGTCATTTTTTACTGCGACTTCGTCCGTGAGGACCTGGAAAGATTCAGAGAGAAGTGAGAGTTATTGAGAGTGTTAGATGATAGATATTTAATCAATCAACATGGATAATTTAACTAAAACGACTTTCTTTTACATACATATGTGTAGATTTGTTACTAAACAAAATGTATGTTGTTTTTCTATGATAGTTGAATAAGTGTATAAATTACAGAAAGGGGAACAAGGTTTCCCAGGATTGCCAGGTCGAGATGGTTTAGACGGTATCCCTGGGGTACCTGGACAAAGGGGTCCTCCGGGCACCCCCGGTGCTCTTAACTTAATACAAGAACAAGTAAGAAATTATTTATTAGAAACGATCATATCAAAACTTTTCATATTGAATACCTAAAAATGAACTTAAATGAAAATATGTATCATGTTAAATATTTAATTTGCAGCGACCGTCACTATCAGAGAATGACGTGAAAAACATCTGTGAGGATATAATAAAAGGTATGTATACTTCCTAAATTAACTTTACACTAAAACATATATTTTATAATAATTTTCTATTTTAGTACGTCTGGCGGACTTTTCATTGAGCCTTGTGATGCCAATTGCGAAACCGGGACGCAGAGGGCCCCCAGGTCCGCCGGGGGTACCAGGGAGCCCCGGTAAAGGAATTTAATATAATTTATTTAAAACACAAAGTTGTAAATGAATACTTATAAAAACATTCTCAAAGATTTTAAGAGTCAGTTTCACTAAGCTCTGTTTGATAAATCTAAACGAGGCATTTACTAATGAACCATCAAAAATATAATTTTAAAATATTTACGTTCCACGATGAAAAATTGACAATTCATTATTAAATGTAATGTTAAATGACCGACTAATTATTCGTTAGTACCTTAAATGTTTAATATTAAACATAATTAGTTTAATTCTTACTAATATAATTATTACTCATGTAGGTTCCTTGGGTGAAATAGGACCGATGGGTCCCAGAGGGTATCCGGGTGAGACAGGCGAGCCTGGTCGACCAGGGTATCCTGGACCCAGCGGTGATAAAGGAGACAAAGGGGATAGAGGTCAACAAGGAGTGGGCATCCCAGGTCCAGAAGGATCACCCGGGATGACTGGTAAAATATATAAATTGATAGGTTTTTTCTATACTTAATACAGTTATAAATACACAATGTCAATTTGTAATCGTAGTATCTACCACTAAAATAACGAAGCAATACATAATTAAGCTGAGCTTTGCATTTGTGTGAGTGAAAGTAAAAGTTGAGTTAGACAAAAAACTTTTTTATTATATTTAAATAGATACATAAGTGCTATTTATATTCTAGATTAAAAATAAAATAAGCAAAACTTGTAAAAGGAAAAATGGAAATGTTCTGAATAAAAAAAATTAAGTAATAAAGTTTTTGAAAAACTATACAAGTTTTCTTCACTTGACATTGCGTTTACAACAATTGACGTTGCTACCAGTACAAAGGGGGAAGTGAGGAAGGTGCGGGGCGGAGTAAAAGCAGAATAAACCGGTTTAAAACTAGAAAAGAACGTGGTATGTATTTAAAAATTTGACATCACACCTACACTATCCGTGTGCACTCACACTAATGCAAAGCTCAGCTTAAATCAAACGCACTATAAATCATTTGATAAATAATTTCAATGTGAAATCTAGTTGTCTGTAATTAATTACTATCAATTAAGGTCCCATGGGTCCAGCTGGGCCTGAAGGAAGAACGGGACCTCGGGGTGATCCGGGCCCATCAGGTCTGTATTTACTTTAATTAAAATAGAAAATATATAATGGAAATTTCATGAAATCTTTTCAATATATGTATTATTATTATGAATTATCAGGTCCCATAGGCCCACGTGGAGTTCCAGGTCCTAGAGGAAGCTGTGACTGTTCATCATCAGCGTATTACGCGTACGCACCCATTTTAGGAAATAACAAAGGACCATAGCAATATATTTTATATAAATCATTAATTACCTTATTTGTAACATTAATATTGACGTTAAAAATATAAAAAAACTTATGACATATAATAATTAGCGATTGTACTTAAGATGAATTAATAAATACAATTGTAAAATATTATAATCGTTTTTATTGGTTGTCTATAAAATTATAAGAATAATAAAAATAAGTAGTGCGTGGAGTTCCTCCGCGCGGAAGAAGTGACACTACGTAATTGTAAGCAATTCTTATATACAATTGTAAATAAAATACTGATCTAATAAATCATATGAGTATAAAATAACGAATATTACAAAATTACTTAATATAGAACAAAAAATACGTATTTCAGTTAATTTCACGACGCTCACACTGCTTACTTCGCTGCATAGCAACAATACCAAATTTGTGCTTGGAATCTATATACAGTATACTCACTCTCTTTCTCTCCTACTTTCTACATTTATGTATCTTTCTTTCTCTCTCTCTCAGCGTAAAACGTTTAACGCAACTTTGTTGGAAGTTACATGAGAAGTTTTACTTAAACTTTAAACTTAGTCAAATCTATGATATTACTTATATTCCAAATTAATTATATTTTAAGAATTGATATGTTTACTAGAAAGTTATAGTTATAGTTAGTTTGCTTTATACACAATACAATTTGAAGTCAGACAGTTTGTGATAGTAGTGAAAGCCATGTGATATAAATAGTATAATTTATTTTACAATACAATCAATAAATGTTCAATTATTCGCTGGTTCTATTTCTTTGACAGATTCTATGTCGGCTTTACAAAAGAAGCATTGCTTACTGTTGAGAAGGTGCTGCATTATGCAAGCTCTGAAAAAAAACATACCATAATGATTATGATTTACAAATTCTATTTTGTTCAGAAAAATATATAAAATAAGAAAGTACATATATATGAATCAAATATACTAATTACTCAGTCATTTTTTATACAAACTGATTAAGCGACGATTTAATGGCATATAAAAATCACTTTGTGACAAATATAAAATTTCATCTAAAACTTACAATTTAATATATATTTTGATTGTTAACGTAATGTTTACAAGTAATCAGTGCCGTAACTAGGGCGGTGCCAGCAGTGCCCAGGGACAGGGCGCAGAAATAACCAGACTTATATCTAGTTTTATCTTATGCATGGCAGCTATATACTTATATAATTTGTTACTATGGTAAACAACAAATAGATTTATTTGTATGCATATTTATCCATTTTGTTTTCAGAGCCTGGTTAGAGCATTTTTTAGGGGCGCAGTTTTGAAAGTTCGCACCGGGTGCATAAAAGCCTAGTTAGAACACTGCAAGTAATGATCTAATATGCTTAAATATTCCAATGATAATACCCCACCTGCACGAATGGTGTCCGCATGGCATAAACGCGGTGTCAGCCGGTCGTGCATAGCATATCGTACATAGTAAATCCGACTGTGTCCCGCTTGACCCGGGCGATTTAGTCCGGGCTAGTGTCTCGCGAGCTTTACGGACACGATCTACAATCTCCTCTAGACACTTGAGTTCCTCTAGCGACACATCTTCCGGATCTATTTAAAATTAATACCAGGTTACAAAATTATATGGGAGTCTATTAAGTAATGTATGAAGTGAATCATTATTATATGTAAACTAGAAAACCCGGCGAACTTCGTATCGCTCTATAATCAAGAAATATCTGTTACGTTTTTTTTATTTATATTTTTGGAGTTTACCTATTAAAGCCATAAATCTTCGTGTTTTGAAGTGCGACAGAATGATTGACATATTAGTTAGTTGTCAAACCTAATGTCAAAAAAACGTTTGTATCAGAAGTTTGTAAAAGGATTATATATATAAAGATTCTTCTGTGAGTGTGTATGTCACTGAACTTCTCTCAAACGACTCGACCGATTTTAATGAAATTTTTTGTGTGTGTTCAAGGGGATCTGGGAATGGTTTAGATTCACAATTTTTGTCTGGGCAATGTTTTTTAAATTAATTTTTAATTTTTTTAGTAGTTGTTGATACAAACGTTTTTTTTTGACATTAGATGTGACAACTAACTAATATGTCAATCATTCTGTCGCACTTCAAATGACGGAGATTTATGGCTTTAATAGGTAAACTCCAAAAATATAAATAAAAAAACGTAACAGATATTTCTTGATTATAGGGCGATGCGAAGTTCGCCAGGTCTTCTAGACTCTAGTGTATACATATATATTAAAATAACTAACATTTGTAGAAGCTGAAATGTTTGCTCTTATCTTGCTCCAACATAAACAGCAATCCGTCCAATCTGAACAGCGGTTCAGACACGAGGGAATTCGTAACTTTGTTTAGATGCTGAAAATTAATTACAATATATACAATCATGTTTTGTTATAAGGCTTTCTAACTTTTAATATAACTTTTCATGTATATTATAGCTAAACAATTAAGAAAATATGCTTTTTGATTAGAAAAATAAGCATCCCAATTTGATCTTCTATTCTTTATTTCTTATTTAATTAAAATAGATCTTCTTTCTTATTTAAATAAAGTAAATTCGAATATAATTTCAACCTACAATGTTACATATATGAAACAATAAGATAATATTTTTTGATATTCTTTATAGATATGATTAAATTTAATACATACCACTTCTGGCAACTTCGGGTCTAGCATTCTTATTAAGCAACCAGCAACCGGTGCTAGCGCTACATAATAATGGACCCTGTCTGTGTCCGGCAACCCTCGAGCAACCAGTCTATTGAAACCCGCGCCACCACCTTCACGGACGCACACACGAGACACAACAGCCATCAGGATCTATATACGGAATATGGAGATTTATACGGAATTATAGACTCTATTGCACGGAATATGGAGCTTTATACGGAATTATAGACTCTTTTAGATGGAATATGGAGCTTTATACGGAATTATAGACTCTTTTAGATGGAATATGGAGCTTTATACGGAATTATAGACTCTATTACATGGAATATGGAGCTTTATACGGAATTATAAACTCTATTACACGGAATATGGAGCTTTATACGGAATTATAGACTCTATTACGAAATTAACAGTACAATGACGATTAATTATTATAGATGTAAAATAGATGATTAATTTCTAAAGAATCTAAAAAAAATGCAAATAAATCAAGCTTTATTTTGCTCATAAATTGGCAGTGGAAGCGTGGAAGGTCGAGGTAGTAAAGATAACTGAGGCATTATGTTACTGTATTTACGTCATTGAAGTCACATGAGGACAGTTTAGAATTACATTTTAAGAATATTGTTTAAAGTAATCTTAAAGTCAAAAGATACTTAAAAAGTTAATTAAATTATTAAAGTATTTTATTTAACAAATACTAACTATCAATATGTTAATATGCAATATATTCCTTATAAAGTTAAACACATAGAAAGCGATCGTTTATGTAGTGGTTTGATAATATTGAACTCGTTGTTAACTTCTGCTGTGCTTATCCACAAAATTAATAATTAAGTGTATGAGAAATGTAATATAATCAGTCATAACATATATTATATGTAAACTAGCTTTCCGCTCGCAGCTTCGCCCGCGTGGAGTTCGGTTATATCGCTTTTTCAAGAGAACTTTTCAAAAATCTGGCATAAAAACTATCCTATGTTCTTTCTCAAGGTCAACTCTATCTTTGTACCAAATTTTATTAAAATCAGTTCAGTGGTTTAGGCGTGAAAGCGTAACAGACAGAGTTACCTTCGCATTTATAATATTAGTAGGGATTGTATGCATTATTATAACAAACATATATGTACATTGTACATGCTATTTCAGTGTTATACATATATAGATATACAAAAACATGAATATAATATAAAATGAATTAATGCTTTCATACTATATTTATTTTGATAAAGAAAAACATATATTTTGATAGACACTCACATCTCGTCAGCCCGTGATCACGGTTGCTGTAAAGTAGCCGAAACGTCGGGAGTATGTACAAAAATAAAAAATCGCGAGTATATCCAAAAATATTAGTTTCATTTTTTTGGAAGTTCATTAAATAAAAGAAAAATTAAATATAAAAATTATTTATAACAAGACGTTAGTTTAAAAGTATTATTATATAGTATAGAATCTAGATGAAATAATATTGTGCCCACTATGAATTTGTGGTAGTGGTATTGTTATGCGACTATTTAAGATTAAAGTAAATAAAATACTTCAAGAATCAGTATCCTTAGGTCGAGTATGACTCGTCATACTATATACGACGCGTTTCCCGTTTCTCATTCTATTATAAGTTAATGCTATGTGTGAAGATTTAAAAGTGAAAATGCTTTCATATTTTGAGTAATTCAAAATTTGTTGAAAGAAAAAGTCAACAGCTTATAAATTAGTCTTTTAGTCCATTTAACTGAAACTAGGTTTTTTAATACTACGCGTCTTTTATTATTTGATAAAACTTAAAAAAAAAATACTAATTTGATGTATCGGAGTGAGTTTATTTAAGATAGAAGTTATCGTTTTCATTTTTTTGCGTTTAATTTCTGGAATATTCCTTCTAAAAATACCAAATAGGTGAATTATTTAAGTGCAATGTTGAAGTCGATATTATTTTCTTATTTATAAATTCGATTAGATAAAACGTTATCTATCCGCAATAAAGTTTTCTACTAGCAGAAAGACAAAAGCTATTTCCTTTATTTAGTTGTTTTTTTCTCTTTAAATGGCCCGTGAAAACAGTGGGTTTGGCGAAACTAAATTTTTATCTGATTGGATACAGGGATCATCAATGTTGGCTTTAGATTACTCCGGGTTATTCTTATTTCTGTTAAGACAATACATTAGTCGTATCCCGGATATGCTCGTCTATCAATTTAACAAAACAGCTGTTAAAATCAAAAAACTTTATAAGAAAAAATCGAGAGAATGATTACATATTATAGTGAGTTAATTATTTTATTTGAAATTTTTAAATATATATTACGTTTTTTTATTTATATTTTTTTGGGAGTTCACCTTTAAGCTATAAATCTCCGTGTTTTGAAGTGCGACAGAATGATTGACATATTAGTTAGTTGTCAAATCTAATGTTAAAAAAAACGTTTGTATGGGAAATAGAAAAGGGCTGTTTTTATGGTTTTCCCAGTAATGAATCAATTTTTTTCAGCTTTTATACCTTCCCTGAACCTCCACGAACATTTCAAGACTAAGGTAAGATAAATCCGTTCAGCTGTTCTCGAGTTTTAGCGAGACTAAGGAACAGCAATTCATTTTTATATATATAGAAGATTAATCATAAATGTTTAATTACCTGGCAAGTCCTTCCCAATAGTAGTTCATTTTGATTTTCGCTCGCCTCTGGTTTCGTAAGCAATTCCGGGGCTAAAGCTAGTGTCATCTCTAGAGCTCTCGCCAGGCCGTGATAAAGATCGAAACAGGTTGCGCATAGCTTTATCTGACGCGGCTCCAGATGAGAATCAATTTGGACTCTGTCCATCTGTTTGGTATAAGAAAAATATAAAAATGCATTCCAATTGGCATTTCTACTTTAAATGTAGGCATTAAATATTAGTTATAAGTGAATATATAAATATCAATTGAATAATATTGAAGTCAGTTGTGGCCAAGTGGTTAAATGACCTGCCTCTCATGCATGAGGACGCGGATTCGATCCTGGCAAGTACCAATGTGATTTTTCCGAGTCATATGTACTTTCTATGAATGTTTAGACATCACTGATTAATGCATTCCCAAAGAGGGTTGATGTCAGTCAGGCGGCCGGTCGTAAAAACAATTAGCCAAAACTATTTACAACATGTAAGGCAGACCCTGGCTAAAGCTGGGAAATTGCCCGGAAGAAGGTAGAAGAAGATATAAATATATGTTAATAGATTTTGACAGAAGAAAGAGTATTTTAAATAAAAATTACTGATACATTTATTTAAAGAACGTTCTGTTTATGATCATCAATTTTTTTTTTTCAATATTTTGTTATTATTTGGAATGGGCTCGACTGAAGGCAAAACTCGTGATGGATTTTATATTGGCTCACTCAGACCTCATTACAGTACATTTACGATGTCATATAATTTTTATATTATGCATGAAAACGTTTTCGAGTAGTAAAAATATCCCATTTAACTGATTCGGGTGTCATTGTGGAAATGAATGAATGAATGATCTCATTGGGAGTTGTAAAATAGTGTGCTTAAATTTAGTTTGAGTTTTTATCTAATAATATTGATCGTCTTCGTCTTCAGCCTATCAACGCCCACTGCTGAGCAAAGGCCTCTTTCTCACATGGAGAAGGTTTGAGCATTAATCACCACGCTTGCTCAAGACGGGTTGGTGATTTCAAACTTATAATTGTGAAAGAAGTCCAGGTTTCCTCACGATGTTTGCCTTCACCGTATGTCAGTGGTGTCTAAATACTCTCAGAAAGTACATATAACTCCGAAAAATCACATTGGTACTTGCCAGGTTTGAACCCGCGCCCTCGGCAACGAGAGGCGGACCCTTTAACCACTAGGCCACCACTGACTAATAATAATATTGATAAATAAATAATATTGATAGTAACTAATATTTTGCGGATATACTACGCGACTTTATTTTTGATAAAAACTACATAATCCCGACGTTTCGGTTACTTTACAACATCACGGTTGCTGCAAAGTATATCCGCCAAATATTAGTTTCATTTAAATGACTCGCGATAACCCCAGATCTTAATATTGAAATACATATGTTCCAATTCAATAATTACGATAACTAAATATTGAATAAATTTTATTATTTTATGAATATAAAATACTGATTTATAATCATTGCTTTACTGATAAATAGTAAATATGACTTATTTTTTAGATTATTTGAGTTGTTTTTTTTGGATAAAAAAATTTGGATAAAAAAAGAAAGCACTTTAATAAGAAAGTGAAGGCAGAACAGTAAGTTATGTCATATTATGATGTTATTTAAACAACAATGAAATCGAAATATTTATAACAGATTTCTCTTTAAAAAATATTTGTTTCTAAACTTTAAAACCTTTACAATGCGTCAACAAAACGAGACAGGAAAATAACTTTCAAAAATATACTAGTGCTATAAAATAATAGTTATCAAATTTTAAAAGGAACATTTTACATAAATCGACTTTGTATACTCGAAATCAAGAGCAATAAAAGATCAAATACTATTATAATTACGGTAAAACTCCGATACTGTGCGTGTTGAGTTTAAACGTGTAATCATACTTAGGGTACTGAGGATATTTTCATGCATACCACACCAATGTTATTCACATTCTTGAGTACAGAAAAGCGACGGGATGAGTACGGGAAAAATAAATTGGATAAAACCTACATCAGGGAAGACTAAGTGAATGTCTGATAACATATAAACAAACACATATGTATATATATTTATATAAACTGTGTATATATATTTCGAGATTTGAATATAATTATATAAAGTAATTGGTAATATAACTCAGAAACTAGAACAACAAAGTCTAAAAGTAGACCGAAATTTATTACGGAATTCAAGAGAGAACTTGTATTTACATATATGAAATGAAACTGACTTTATATTGCACTGAAAACTATCGCATATATTTCATTTCGAGACACGATAGGTATATCCAAAATCAAAACCAAAGTCGAGGTCTAAGATGATGTCGCGTCCAGAATTTAGAATTAAATACAAATGTTATACGCGTCTTAAACTGGTTGGTGACCGAAAAGAGTAACACATTTTTATAAACACACTAGTTTTTGCCCGCGACTTCATCTGCGTTAGTTTCAGAATTAGAAATGGTTAGTTGACCAAGCGAACTCCGTTCCCCTAAAAGACAGTAGATGAGTTTGTGGATTTGATCATTTTATTTTGTTTTCTTTTTCAATCGGATGAAAAGTATCCTATGTCTTTTCCCTGTTCAAAGCTATCTGTCTACCAATTTTTATCTAAACCCGTACAGCTGTTCTTGACTTATATATAGTGTTACTAATATAAATTTCTTTTATATATAAAAATTTAAACATTATTTTTCTCTTTAAATAGTGTATAATTACCTCCTGCATCATAGTGAAGAACTCTGAAAACGCCCAGTTTAGCTGACTGAGTAGTGAATTGAGAAATAGTGCTGCTTCTTTAGGATGGCTTTCTAGGTATTCACGAACACGACCTTGAATCACTTCCGAAGGACACGGACCTATGAAGAGCTCATAAATATTATTTAATCTCTTACTTTTACTCTGGTAAAGCCACCATTTGAAGACACTTGAATTTTTAATTGCTTACAATAGCTTTTATTACCATATATAAATATATTTTCTAAGCATATACCACAAATTAAAAGTAATTTTGAAAGTATTAAATTTTTCTATAATATTACCAAGAACGAATAAAGTGTCAACTGTGTGAAATATTAAAACTTTAATTCGTAAACATCGACAGTATGAGAGGTGAAATACGTTGGAACAAAACTAGAAATAAAATTGGTTTGACGTACCAAAGCACTGGCTCATAAGACCGGCGTCCACTTTGGCTCCTAAGTTATTAACTGTCGGTTCTCTGTCACCATATCTGTAACACAAACAATTCATACTAACCCAAAAAAACTTCTTAATGTTTCCTTTCATTTAGTTACTCTATATATCTAGTGCAATCGAATTAAATTTATGCTAGGACCTAAAAAAGTCCAATGCCCTCATTATTCCTAATCATCTTTTTATATATTTACGATAAACAAATAACTTTTTTTTCTTTATTATTTTTGTGGGATTATATAAGAAATTCCATCAAGATAATCCCGGGACCAATGTTTATGAAGCTCTCGGAAAAACGGAGAGAGATAGTCATTTGATTTTTGGTCATCTATGAGAAATTAAAGCAACAACGACGGTCCAATCATGAATGAGAATTTAATTATATTTATTTTTTTCCCCTAAATTTTTTTATAAACACCATAAAGACTTTTTCCTAGTTAATAATATGGATAGTTTAAAGTAATCTTAAATAATAAATCCACTACTACACTGTATAGTATATATACTATTTGCTTCTAGAAACTTAACATACGGCCTCTATTTCTCATAGAGTTTATTAGTGACACTATAAATTCTATTCTGTTTTTCCACTACTACGTTCTGACCTAGATTGTACACTAAAGGGAGCAATAGAATAGGAACAAAGCGGATATAAATCACTCCTGTATATGTTCGAAATAAAGTTATCAGAAAAGTAGGATACTAAAAAAATAATCTATAAAATTGGTTCTATTTAGAACTAGCTGACCCGGAAGATTTCGTACTGCCTCAATTGATACATAAATATTATTATATTTTTTTTGAATTTAGCTATAAGCCATAAATCTCCGTGTTCTGAAGAGCGACAGAATGATTGACTTATTAGTTAGTTGTAAAATCTAATGTAAAAAAGACGTTTGTATGGGAAATATAAAAGCGCTGATTTTAAGGTTAAATTTTTTTCAGCTTTTAGCCTTCCCTGAACCTCCACGAACATTTCAAGACTAAGATAAGATAAATCCGTTCAGCCGTTCTCGAGTTTTAGTGAGACTAACGAACAGCAATTCATTTTTATATATATAGATTAAAATGTTGTAAAAACTACCTCGCAGCAAGATGAGGCCATTGTCTGTGTCGGAAACCAAATCCTGAACCGTGCCAAAATCTGACTAACACCCAGTTAGACTGAGCCCACGCTCGATTCTGGTAAGGACGCACCAGTTCTTCAACCATGCACATCTGTCTTGAGATATATGTATAAAAGATAAGATAAGATATATTTAGATCTATTATTCATTTATTTAATTAAATATGTTTGTGCTAGATTATAGGAATTTCTTGAATGAAGAATTACAAAGAAAATATTACTTTATTATTATTACTATTATCATGTCAAATAGATGGATAAAAATTGCACGAAACTATTAATATTTTCTTAATTGTAGATAATAATCAAACATTTTTTCAAATACACCAATACCTACTTTATGCATCGTTCAACAATTTTGCAAATAACAATAGTAAATTCAGAATGTGAATCTTGTTTATTGAGGTAGTACAAAATATTAGTGTAATTTAAAGGCATTAGCTTATTTACTAATACGAGGAAGCAATATCAGTCTTCATGATAGTTTCTATTCATTACACATTACATTTCGTTAGCGCTGTCAAAATTCACCTCACTGCTTTATTTTTGTGAGATATACAAACAACTTGCTTAGTATTCTATAAACTAAATTATGGAGAGTGTAAGCACTGCCTCTCTTTATCGTTAAAAAACCAAAAGCAATGCTGCTTCTTAAATCTTTCTCGCAGTCGGATGAAGCGATATGCTTTCGTAATTCTTAAAAAGCAAAACTGACTAAGTTATTACAGATAAATTTCTACCTCCCAAAAGGTGGAATGACAATCAAACACTATCTATCCGAAATTTAAAAATATACTGACAACCACCGGATCAGATCAAAAAGTAAAGTATTCTGCCCTGTTGACAGATCCGGGGTACACCAACATAGCGGCCGATGGCTTTCGCAGTGGTTTTAGTGAGTAGGGGCCTGCCTAGGTAGTCTCACACATCCCTTCCGGCCCCACCAAGGCCGGTTGGACGGTTCGTAAAAAGAGTTTCAAAAGTATGTGATTAAAAAAACTAACTGTTTCAATGGTACTCTCTCAATAGCCCTCATAGTTGCTGGCTGCGTGGCAAACGACGCGAGGGTCTGTACCAGAGACTCTCTAGAGCTGGCCAGAACTATTCTTGGGTCAGCGAACTCGGTGCATAGGAAGGACGCACATGACACTACTAGCTCCTCCCACTCTGAATTAATATCAATTTCTTAATAAACGGTCAAACAATAAATGCTATTTTTTTGTATGGATCTATTATAATACATATGACTTTTTTTCGTTATAAACAATTTGCTGAAATATGGCATTGTTCACAAAAAATAATATACAAACTCATTATCATATTTTGAATTTTATTTAAATCTCACCAAACAACTAAAACCATGTTTTTTTACATCGTTACGTTTTGGTCTTATGTAATTCCAAGTATATATTTGACTAAAGTCATTTATTGACCTTTGAATCATAGAATATATGTATATTAAATTCTTAATGAAAAATCTGTATGTACAGCCTAAATATTTTTTTATAGTTTAATTTTATGATCAGTCCATTAAGAGAAATAAAATCTTTTACAATCTAATTGAATGAAGGTTAAGTATAGTCACTCGGGTTTTTACCTGGAATATTTTGCACCGGTACTGTTGGATGCATGTATAGACGCAGAGTATTACAGAGCTCCAACATAGCATCTACATGGTATTCGGGTATAAATGCGAATAAGGACTCAGTGAATTCTGGTGCGGTGGCTGTGAAAATAAAGATTAGGCATTCTCTAACTTAAACTCCCAATAGGCAACACAGATTGCAATTTTTACAAATTCTATTCAAATTCAGAGGGTAAACTTTTTCAGCTTTTTCAGGCATTTGAGAAAAATAATTTAAATAATTGCATTAAATATTCAAACAAGTTTACGAAGTGTGTTCATTTATATTCCGTTTCCAAACTTTGTTAATTCAATTTACTGTTTTAGACAGCGAGGTGGATCATAGATTAACAATGACAATTGAAAAAAAAGGAATATAATTGAATTAATATAACACAATTAAACTCACGGGCGTTTGATTCAATTTGTGTGTTAGAACCGACTCGAGGACTTGCAGCACGAGATGTTGGACTGTCAATAAATTAAACAATTGAGAATATTCTAACAAAGTGAATATTTGCAAAGGGCAGTTAAAATTCAGATAATACATTATTTGATTGTTTTGGAATAGTTTTTGCTATCAATTTATGAGCAGTTTATCTTAAACAATGTAATTATTACGTCATATGTTTTCTTAATATAATAATACAGCTGCAATAATTGAAACAATATCATAGAAACCTTGCGAAACTGAATAGTGCTTGGCTCTCGCCCTACCTAATGCTAAATAGATATGTAGCCTTAAATAGTAAAGGGACTAATTCTGTAAAAGATTATTTACATTCTTTTTGAAGACCCTTTAAACTGTAAATGGAAGGGAACACAGTGGCAGGCAAAAAGAGTGAATCGTTTGTTGTGCTCTCGAGAAAGAAGTATGCATATTACTTAATTCTTATAAGAGGAAAATCTTAGGCGAAAATATGGAGGCTCTCATTATATATGGCTGTCCGCTAGTACTCGTAAAATCATGAAGGATTTATATAATATAATTTATGGGCACGCTCTCCAAAGTAAGCTTTAAAGTCATCATAATCATCATCAGCCTATCAGAAGCCCACTGCTGAGCAAAAGCCTCCTCTCACATGGAGAAGGTTTGAGCATTAATCACCAAACTTGCTCAAGAAGGGTTGGTGATTTCAAACTTAAGTTAATATGTATTAAATCGTTTCCGTATTAAAGTCAGGTACAGTACACAAATACTTGATTTGAACCGTTCCATTGTATTCAAAATAAAGGCTTTACCTTTGATCCGAGCTGGATGTGTATTCCAATTGTAAGGAAGCGTAACTTTGGCCGCCCAATATTGAACTTTTACCGGGTAAAATTTCTTTGCTTGTCGTCTGAAATAAATCGAATAAAATACAGCAGATTCTAGAGAAATATGATTAAATAAAAATATATATTACAGCAGAAAAATCTACTTTACATTAAAATTATTAGTAATTTATGTTAAGAGAATATTTATTTTGAAATGTTTAAAACAATTATAAATTAGCAACTTTGAATTAGTATCAACTTAAACCATATTGGAGTAAAAATACTGATTTGAATACTAAGTATATTTGATTATTTTTACGTTAAAATATAAATTAATTAAAACTGTTCAACAAAGGCTTTTAGTAAATTTGTATGTACATATATGTATATATTTACATACATACGAAATAAGAAACTCTCGTCAAAGTAGAAGCTCTTACTTATTTGTATTAAAATAAAAAAAAAATATTGACTAATATTCAATAACTTTAGTTATTACTAGTAACTACCTTCCGATTACTTTATCACATACGTTATATTTATATATATAATTCTCCTGTGAGTGTGTATGTCACTGAACTTCTCTCAAACGACTGGACCGATTTTTATGAATTTTTTTGTGTGTGTTCAAGGTTATCTGGGAATTGTTTAGATTCACAATTTTGTCCGCTGGACAATGTTTTTTTAATTATTTTTTAATTTATTAGTAGTTTTTGATACAAACGTTTTTTTGACATTAGTTTTGACAACTAACTAATATGTCAATCATTCTGTCGCACTTCAAAACACGGAGATTTATGGCTTTAATAGGTAAACTCCAAAAATATAAATAAAAATAACGTAACAGATATTTCTTGATTATAGGGCTATACGAAGTTCGCCGGGTCTTCTAGTATATACATATATAATATGATCTTACTCGTGCATGTGCAGCGTACTCTGGGTCAGAAGCAATCCTAAGGGAGTGAAGAGCGCCAGCAAAATGCTTAGCCAGCTCCGACTGTCGTTGCTTGGTCCATATCGCGCCAATCACCCAGCCCATTTGTAGCGCACTGGTGTTTAGTTTTTCCTTCGCAGTCATTATTGAATATAACGCTTATATTATCATATATATTTTATAAATTGAGAACTATATCTTATGTACATATGTTTGAGTGAATTGAGCAAAGCGAAGCGAACGCTGCTCAGTGGCAACTCAGATTATTTAAGTAGGGTTTTTAACAAAAGAACAAAAATTTAGATGGGACCACCAATTTAAATTTTAGGGCCAAAAAACGGAGTATATGACTAAAAAACGTTTCTGTACTGTAACATTGTGGTCGCTTCACTCAAACTAAACCGAAAGCTCATTCGAACGAGAAAAAAACGCCAAGGTTCATTGGCTAGTTTTAATTATAATGTATAAAATTTCACCTCATAAACAGCTTTCGATCTCCTTAATTCATTTAATATATTTTCCGTTAATTGTCTTCTCATTTTATCCTGCTCTGTTAATTCTCCATTTGCACCTGTGAATATTTGTAATGATCATCGAATGTTCTAGATTAAGGAGCTTTAAAACTTAATTGATTATGAATTCAGAATCGCATCGCCTGTAATACTTATAAATTAACATTCTCAAGTTTAAATTATTATTTTAGGTTTGATGTTTTCAGAGTTTGGAGTAGGTGAAAGTAATATTTTCAGATTTACTACGCGTTTTTTATTAATTTAAACTACATACTCCTACAACCGTGATCACCGGCAGACGAGATGAAAATTTCAAGGGGATATAATATAGTTTTAAATTAATAAAAAACGCTTATTAGATCCGAAAAAATAGTATTATTTAAATGAATACTCGCGAAAGCCTTAGATTTTATGCAGTAAACGTACTGTGTACGAATACGTTAACACGAAAAAATTAAAGAACTTATATATATTGTTTAAAAACTTTCTTCTTTATAAAAGTGCCACGGAAATGTTCATGAAATCATATAATTTTAACAGTGTGTGTGTCAGCTCACCTCCAACAGCCTGTAATTCATTCGTGACTATAGCCATCCTCTGTTCAATATCGTGAAGACAGTCCGCCATGTCGAGCTGATTATCACGAAGTTCACACAACTGGTATTAAACAATCATATACATTACTTTTAAAGTATTGGTTCAAAAATATAATATATGGTTGATATATTAATTAGCACAGTTGATAGCAGGCTAATCTATGTCTAGAAAAAATGTAAGTCAAGTCTGCTTCATTTTTAATTCTCTATGAAATATTAATTTAATTTTTTTTGCATATGAAAGTTATGTTTATTGCTAACGTAATTAGTAGTTATTAAAACCAATAAATTTAGATACTACTCCTCAATTTTTTAACCACCCGTACCTATGATATTTTCTTTGGTATTTCAAATTCAATGCACATCGTTATTTCAATTATTTACGTAAATCCAATAATCGATTCTTCCTTAAATCATTATGCGATGAAAGAGCGTCAGTTGGACAACAAGCTAACCTTCTCTGAATGCTTAATAGCAGCTCCATGGTATAATGCTAGTAGACCATCCAGAAGTCTTAAATACGCGTTCCTCGGGTCGATAGAACCTGCACCCGGCATCATAGAACGAGTTCCCTTCAAAGCGAGAGCTGTTTCACCAGCGGTTCTAAAATAAAACCTTCTTCAGCTAAATTTAAGATTTACAACAGCTAGACATTGATAACTAAAGTTAACGTACAACGCGTCATAGTTTTTAAGAATTTTTCGAATTTACACACGCAAGGTTTAGTTAACTATATTGAATTATATTCTTTTTGCATACAATGAAATAAGAAAGAGTTACCAACTTTAAAATAAGAAAAAATAATTACCAACATACGGAAAAAATAATTTAAAGCTGACTTTGAATTCGAGTCAAAGAAGACCGCAACCGAAATAAGATCATAAGTTTAAGTTAAAATAATCAGATAAGTAACATGTTTACAAAAATAAAGTATACAATTTGACATTTTAAATTATTTTATAAGTATGAGAAATCGTTTAAAATTTGAACCGATGATATATAAAGAATTTTTTAACTACTCTTAACAAACTGTCACTTTAAACATACATAAATAGCAATTATTTATACTAATGAACATATTATAAACTTTGACTTTTAGAAAAATATCTTGAAACAATTAATTAGTTATAAAAAATTCATATATTATACCTATTTGTGAGCGGCGTCATCTGCGGGTGCATGAATCTGGCTATGGATGATATAACTTGAGGCAGTGTAGCCAGACCTGGTGAACCAGCTGCCATCTCGCTTACACCTTCAAAGAAGTTTATACATATATATTATATGTAATTATTAATTAATCAACCTCCTTCGTGCTATCTCTATTTTATCTTTGACTGAACAATCATGCAAAATTATTGACAATAATTAGGCAATGAATAAAGAATTGAATTTAATTTTCATAAACTATGTAACTTTAAAGGTGGTAGAGCCTAGCTGTGGTGAGTTACTGCAGCTCGAACATGGGCTGGCTCGACCGGGGAAGTACCACCCTCTCACAGAAGATCGGCGTGAAGTAGTCTTTACCGGCTGCGTTTCGTCTGATGAGTGAGAGAGCCGGTTGCCCTTTCCCTATTCCTACCCTTTCCCTTCATTTCCTTATTCCCTCCCCTCCCTATCGCCAAAAAACAAGGTTGGCAACGTCTGCTCGTTTGCCACCTTTAACATAAAAAAAAAAAACTATTTCGTTGAAATTATTATTATTTTCGTATTTAATAGAAAGGAATGCTCTAGGCCTCTTTATTCTTCTTCTACCTAGGAATTTCCCAGATTTAGCCAGGATCTGCCTTACATGTTGTGAATAGTTTTAGCTAATTATTTTTACGAGCGGCCGTCTGACTGACATCAGCCCTCTTTGGGAATGCATTAATCAGTGATGTCTAAATATTCTTAAAGTACATATGACTTGGAAAAATCACATTGGTAGTTGCCAGGATCGAACCCGCGCCCTTGTGCATGAGAGGCGGGCCTTTAACCACTAGGCCACCACTGACTGCACATTATCCTACACAATATATGTATGTATATATATTTACCTGTATCAATACCACCAGCTCTATTGTAGTTTGGTTCGAAGCTCTGAATAAAAGGATTGTCTTCGCCAAGGACGGAGATGAGATCTTGTCTGCAAGTTCACAAAATAACATAGTAAATACTTAACAAAGACATTATTACCTACAAATATGGAAAAAAATCTCGATAAATTCAACAATGTTTCTGAATTCCATCACAGATATTAATATTCTATGTCCCTACCAGTGGAGATATCTGGACAAAAAAATCTTCGTTTTCCTTAATATTATCACTCCAGACTTGATTAATTCCGATTTTTAATTTTTAATCCAATGGTCTTTTTTCTTTGTATTACAAATTATGAGTGAAAGATTTGATCCTATATACACATATATCAATTGAAATATAAATATATCAATTTCAATGCAATTTTTGAATTATGTTTAAATGGTTATGGCCCAAAATATGAATATAATACTAAATATTACTCACCGTAAAGTCCTGACCAGAAAAGGTAGAACTCCACCCAGTCTATCGACATTATAGAAATCCAGTTCACCATCTATGAACGTCCTGGCAGGCAAATGTGGATGTGCATGTCTGTATAATTATTATAAGCCTTTTATTTCATATAAACAGTAATATACATATATAGAGGTTCCTTGCATGAAGCCTTGATTAAGTGGAAATGTAAAATTGAAATAATATGTGTGCATAAGACGAAATAATTTCTGATCTACTTCAACTATAACAAATGTAAATTAAATATGCATGCATACAATTTCTCTTTTAATTTAATGGTGTTGCTATATATAAAAAAACAATTTTAATATTTGTATTCGTATAAGAAGTATAAAAACAATTTTAATTATCTTAGTGAGAAGCATAATGAATATTAGCATGAAAATTTGTAGTAGTAATTAGAGTCTTAAAAGTAAATAAATGTTTAGAACATACGTTATTCCAAGTGGATTTTCATTCCATAGTTTCAAGACTGCTGAGAGGAGTCTAGCGTGGCAGCACCAGGATATGGCGGGAGTATTACGAGACACGTTGAACAGTCTCTAAAAGTTAATATAACGACTAGGTATACTAGACCAAAATATTACGAAATCTTTTTACCAATTAGACTTTTATGAGTTCCAATTAATTCTCATACATACAAAAGTTCTTTAAAGTTATATATTCTTCTTCGTGTATACTGATTTGTAAGTTCGTTTGTTTTCAAAAATGAATACTTCAATATTGCTTTAACACTACATATAATTCAGTAATAAATTGGCAAAACAACGCAAAAAGACATTATATATCAGAGTAACATGTGAAGAATAGAAGTAATTAAGATATTTACAAAGAGAAAAGTAATCTTCATCGAAAGGAAACTAATATTTTTCGGATTTACTACGCATGTTTTACTTTTGTAAAAAACTACATACTGCCGACGTTTCAGCTACTTTTCAGCTACCGTGATAAAGCATGCGTTGTATATCCGAAAAATATTAATTTCTTTTAAATGAATAAAACTGGGGAAAGTGGTAGATCGCATCATTTCCCCATCATTGTGGTCACTCACCATATCTAATATACAATTATCCATGATGTACCTCCTGAATTTCTCTAAAAATATTTTCCTGGTTGAAGGCACCATGTTGGTTCCATCTGTGTTGTCGAGTAGCATCAGAAGAAACTCCATCTAATATAATATAGATTTTAAATTAATTTATCTTTGATAAACAAAAGTATGACAACTTTTTTATACTTGAAACTTTGAAGCAAATTATATCTTTAAGAAAACAATAACTAAAGAAAATGTTCATTTAGATCATTAATAAGAGTAACAGATTTTGTTGACAATAGATTATATTAAGTTTTTTATTGTATAACTAGTTTTTGCCCGTGATTTCGTCCGCGTCGATTTCGTAATTAGCAATGTATGTATAGCAGACCGGGTGATATCTATTCCACCCCAGAGGCCATAAATAAGTAGATATTGGAGTTTATTAAGTATTTTTTTCTCTTTCGATCGAGCAGAATTAAATATTATATATCCGTCTCCGAATTCTAAGCTATCTCCTCACCAATTTTCAATCATATAACAACATTCTTGAGTTATAAATATGTAGTGTAACTAACAAAACTTTCTTTTATATATAGATTTCAAAGTAAATTTCTTGTTAAAACGAATATACTCTGTTAGGCAAAAATGTGAAGAAATAAATATATTTCTGGTACATTTAAACATGGGAGCTCATACTCGTTAAGTTAATAGATATAAGTTCATTTAGACGCTCACCTGAATTTTCTCTAACGGCATAATAGCTTTAGTTATTTTTTCACAATCTTCTTTGTACTGAGCTTCTATAGTAGCATCAGATTGTGGAGGAGGCAGTACTTTTGATATTTTCTCTGAATTAATCGTCAAAGTTAGATTAAATTCTTTTTACGACTGTATTCTTTATTAAATTACCTGTCTCAGTCGGTCCTAGTTTAGAAGACATTATGGTCCCTTTTTCTGCCATTTCTGAGACAAAAAAAGTTTTGTTTGAATTGTACTTATTTTCATTGTATGCTTGAAATAAATCTTCGTGTACCATATTATGAAAAAAATATATATATGAACGGAAGACTGGGAAGTCGTCGTATTTTGTTTTTGAAAATTTGTGGTTAAGATAAGATTTTAACTCTTCGAGCTTGTATGGCGATGTAGTTGAATTTTCAGCCCAAATACTCAAGATTCAAATATAACATTTTAAATTATCATATTCTCGCTAATGATTAATGCAATATAGACATGAAAAAGCTATATTTTTAAATCTTCAATTATTGAAAACATAGAAATCTGCTTATAAATTTAGAATAATAGTAATTCAATATAAAAAATGTATTTATTCTACGCGCTACCTCGTGTATACATTTGTATATGTAATATCTTGTTTACAATTCTTGTCAGGCAAATATACTCGCTTCTCGCATTAGTATCATATTTTATTTTATCACTATATTTATCCAAATAGAAAACATCATAACTATAGGTTTTCTAGTTTATATACGTTTCAGAAGGTTACGAAATTTAATATTCATAATATTAATAAAGAAAATTACACGTAGATTTAGTCTGAAGTTAGGAATATAGTGTAGTAAGGAAACTCATTGAGGATTGAAGTCTATAAAATTAAGGTACGTACCAGCAATCCTAGGATCTGTTTCTCCCTCTACAGAAGTTGGTCTCTGCCACCAGGGCTTACGAATCACGGAGCGGAGTACACTCTCGTCCGGACATTTGATGTTAAGGAAATTATCAAACCTGGAAAAATTATAATACCATAATAAGAGAATCGTTAAAAACTTGAAAATACCCACCTATAAGTCTGTCTTATAGAATAGGATAAATAATGTTTAAAAAAAATTATCTAATAATATTTCAGATAGTTAATAAATGTTGATAATCTAATACAATAAATGTTTATTTTACTCACGAGATCTTATTAAAAAATACATATTTCACTAAATAATGCCTCGTGTCTCTGTGCTGCATCAGGCCGCATAGCACATAAATCCCTTCTATTTGTTGTGTGAAGTTCATATCCTGAAAGTTCCATATAAATTTCTTATAAATACAGTCATAATAATGTCGCTAATAAAAGGCCAAATTTTTCTATTCTTCACACTGATAAAATATTATTTGTAATCAAATATCAAGATGAGATTAGCCCTGGTACTGTTCAGTATTCATGAATTACATGTTAAAAAAATATTTATTTCGACAGCCTAAAATCAGATTTGTGGTTTCTTTTTGAACGTCTATGTCTACGGGTAAACTTTCGTTTAATACTTGAAAGCTCTTAAAGTACATAATTATGGTTTATAGTACATAGTTCAAATTTCGTTATTTTCAGTGTTACAATAGATCTTAAAATAAAATAAATACATTATTATTACTAAGCAGTAATTCCTTATTATCAATGATACAGATTTATTTTAAATAATGAAGTTTAATTTTTATACTCAATAATTGACTGCATTAAAATAAAATTGGAAGATAGAAAAAGTTTTGAATAGTTTTGTAGGTAAAACAAAAAATAAAAGAAGCAAGCATAGTACCTTACCATACAGTATTAGCAATTATTACGCACCAATTATAATTACCAGACACTCTTATTATCTATTTTCTTTGGTAAATCTTATTAAACACCTAAATAGTATTATATAGAAACTGACCATCATAATTTTAGAACTAAATTAGAGTAATAAAGCTTTTAACGTACCGGTGATACTAAATCATACATCAAGCATTCCCTAACAACGCAATGTTCCAGCACATCACAAAGAGCAGCTTCTTCTAGAAAAGTCCACAGAAGATCTAGAAGTAAACAGAGTCGTGGCTGAGGTTGACTGAGAAATTTTCGTGCCAATCCATTCTGTATGAAAAATATCTTGTAAATTTTACCAAACTAACTTACCCAACTAGTGTAGTCGGAAATATTGCAGCAGATTCTTAGATAGAGTTAAAAAACTGTTGTATTACATAATTAAAATATAGTTATTACATTTAAGATGTCTGTTTTTCTTTCTAATACTTAAATTCACTTTGAATTGTAAATTGTTTAAATTCTGATAATTATAAGTATTTTTCTATGTTCACTCCATGAAACGGTGCAAAAGTGGAAACCTTTTTGGCGTATGTAATTATTTTTAATATGTGAAAACTATTATGATGTATATATGCTGTTTGTTTCCCAATAAATAAATAAAATAAACTAAAGTATCTTACAAATTTCTCCTCTTTAGCTTTCTGATAGAACTCCACAGCACTAGGCTCCGGGTGCATGACTTTTGACTTCAAGCCCAGAGATCCCCTAAATCTGGGAAGTAGTTCAGAGACTACTACGTATGATACCCGAAGAACTGTTCCAAGCTCTGATACTACCAAACGCGCGAGAGACATCAGAAATGCCTGGAGAGAAGAAAAAATAAGAAAGAGTAGTTTTAATAGACTACTAAATGTTTTGATTGACTTAGAAAAGCCAAATTAAAGGTAATAAAAACTTGCATAATAACCTTTTTGGACATTTTCTTCATCTCAGCGCTCTGTGCCACAACCATGCTGTGTGGTGAAGCTCTTGGACTATACACGGAACTCGAACTGTGGATACGGAGAGCTACTTCCTCTTCAGCCTTGGATGAAATCGATTTAGCCTGAGATTAAATATTCTTAATTTTATGTCGTAAATTTGTTTTCATGCAAGTCTCTTATTGTCTTGTCAGGACACATCTTTTTAAGCTATTTTCTATGATTTTTAATACATTTTTTTAGAGTACCTTGCTACTTTTCGCAGATACAGAGGTCTTGAGATCGGAAAGTTTGCTCAATTCATCAAGCAAAGCTTCAAGTGATTTGAATAAGATGCTTGCGCGTGCGCAGTCCTTTGTAGGGGGCGCTTGTAGCGGAGCAAATCCCTCTACCGGAAAACTAGAGGAAGAAAAGTAGTTATTAAAATACCTAATAATATCTTCTTCTACCTGGCAATTTCCCAGCTATAGCCAGGGTCTGCCTTATGTTGTGAATAGTTTTTGGCTATTTGTTTTTACGACCGGCCGCCTGCCTGACATCAACCCACTTTTGGGAATCAACATTAATCAGTGATGTCTAAATACTCTTAGAAAGTACATATGATTCGGAAAAATCACATTGGTACTTGCCCGGGCCAGGATCGAACCCGCGCCCTCGGCAACGAGAGGCGGGCCTTTTAACCACTGAGCCACCACTGACTTTTTAAAATACCTAATAATATAACAAAGTTAATCTTTATTATTAAAAAATTTATAACAAAATAAATACTATGGAGTTGGACGTGTGTATTTTTTTAGTGATAGATGTAGTAATTATAGGAAATTATATGCAAAAAATATTGTCAAATTTTCAAGGTAGATTAAGTTTTTTGTAAATCTTTGTTTTAAATGATAAATAGTACTTACATAAAAGGCACGTGTCCGAAATTTGCGTAAAGATGTTCCTGCATAGCCAAAGACACTGCAGGGAAATACGCCAAGCCCGATCCACGAGTTACTTTGTTAAATGCCATGCCCAGAGATACGCCATTTCTATTCCAGATAATTTAGTTTATTATTTATTAATGTAATAATAACTTTAACATTTCTTAACTTATTACGTCTATGTTTATATATTTAATCTTGATTTTTTTAGTGTCGGATATAAAGAATAATTTTTTTTTTTGTTGTGGAACGAAACAGTAATCGACCTTAAGGTTAAGTCTTTTATAGTCATAAAAATATAGGTACTTTAAGTACAAAATGGTAAGGAATCTGAAAGTCTAGTTTAGGGTATGTTGGAAGGAAAGAAATAAGAGGAATTGTTATTTGAATAGAATAATGAGCGACCAATAGCTTCTATTACGTCCATTCATCGAAACAATTTAACTATATTAGCTACTGTTTAAGAGAGTATAAAGTCTAAACCAAATAAAGTAACAATTCTTAAACTGTGGTTATACTATCGTAATCTTCTACCTGACAATTTCCCAGCTTTAGCCAGGGTCTGCCTTACATGTTGTGAATAGTTTTGGCTAATAGTTTTTACGACCGGCCGCCTGCCTGACATCAACCCTCTTTGGGAAAGCATCAAATCAGTGATGTCTAAATACTTTTAGAAAGCACATATGACTCGGAAAAATCACATTGGTACTTGCCAGGGCCAGGATTGAACCCGCGTTCTCATGCATGAGAGGCGGGCCTTTTAACCACTAGGCCATCACTGACTTTTAAATAATTTTGTGGTTATACTATCGTAATGTGTATCAATAATGGTACCTGTAGAACTCCAAGGTCCCTTTATCCAGGTCTATACAAGAGGCGATCACGTCACCTGGCAGCCAGGCCTGCCCGTATTGTGAGGTGGCGACATTCCACTTCCTAACCCTGCCTCCATCATAAGCATATGAGTGTGCTGTATCACCAACTCCTGTGTCCATTGAGAAAGTACAAGTTGCTGTACACCAGCCGACCTGTTGAAGACAATTATTCTTGTTGATTATTTAATGTTTCTCTTAATTTATATTCTTATTATCATTCATTGGTAATAAGTATGTTTTTTTATATTTATGGATCAACGAATTGATCAGTGGTGCAGAATCCCGGTGGATTTTTAAGGTCCAAGCATCTAGGTTTACATGATAATTATGATGAAACCCCTTAATTTCGACATATTTTGAATATAAATAAATATAGTATGTAAAATATATAAAAAATATCAGATTCTCAGGCACTGTTAGAATCCCAGGCACAATATCAGAGTCTATTATGGTTTAGAGTTTGAGAGATCTTAATTGGCCCCTCTTTGACATGAACTGAGCCTCGGAATTTATTTTATTATTTGGAAATGGTCTAAAAAAGAACTTTTTCTTACTTAAATGTACTTTCAAAAAGAATACTTCAAATATTAAGTAGTAAGTATGTTTGTTTCTTAAACACAGAACTTTTTAGGAGTGAACTGTTAAAGAACAATTTTTTTTGGCACCAAAACTCGATTTTCTTTTTGAGGATAAAATTAAAGCCACGTTTTAAAACAGCTATTAATAATTGAAAATATGATTTAAAAGACAAAACATTTTAAATAGCTGTTATAAAAAGAATCAGGGCAATTAGCTTAGGGTGCAAAATGTCTGTTTACAAAAATTCTACACTGTAATCCTAATAGTAATTCTTTGTTGTGATTTTTAGCATCACATTGCAATTACAAAAGAACTTTATTTTATCTCTCATAAAGAACAATGTTCACTAGAATGACATGTATTACATAATTCAATTCAAACAACAATTCAGTACAGTAGCTACGAACCATACACCTCAAGAGCGGTTAATCCAAGTGCTCCCTACAATAACCCAATAGTTTCCTCCTAAAAATCACAAACGTTTTTTCATCAAACACTTCGTCAGGCAAGCCATTATATAGTTTCGCTCCCTCAAACTGTATACTTTTAATTCCATATTTGGTCCTGGTCTTGGGTAATTCAAGTTTGTGTTTATGTCTGATGTTATGTTTATATGTTTTAGTTTTAAATGTTATTTGTGTGTATTGATTTCGTAAGTATTTTTCTAATTAATATGCAAAAAAGAGTACAAATAAAATAACAAAAGTAACAAAGGCAAAATACATTGACTACTACATATCGACTCACGTACCTACTTCATAACAGTATCTTGACCACTAAAAATGTAATGTAATGTAATTGCTAATTATTTTTAATAATAGTACACGCTATTAAAGATATATTCAAATCTAAATGAGTCTATGACTTCAAATAACGCTCATACTATTTTCTTATTTAAACTCAACTAAAAAAGGCTTATTTTTTAGAAATTATCTATTATAAACCGTATAAGATTTTTAAAAGAGATACAGTTTGAAATATAAATTGATTTTCTATCTTATTACAGATATTTTTCACATACATTTTATATGTCTTTTTTGAATTTTGAAGTTTTAATTAACGCGTCATCTTTTAGTAATCTTGATTACTAAAAGATGACGCGTTTCGCTGTCGGCCTAACATAAATACATGTAGAAAAGGTATAATAAAAAGCTATTTGAGCTGCATACCTGCATAATACCCTTAGTTCCAAGCTGCACCTCGTACATCCACTTGCCTGAATAAACGCAAGCTGTAGCTCGTATCGTCGCGAAGCTTGAGAGACCCTGCACACTAACTCGCTCATCTCCTACCAGAACTAATCTTCCTGTACCTGGAATTACATGTATTGAGATGAAATACCTTCTCAAACAAAATTCTATGAAACAAGTCCTTAAAATGAGAAGAGCAACAAAAAGATTCACCAAACAATATACTTTAAAATGTCTTACATATGAAATTAATATTTTTTTACGGATTATACTACGCGTATATTATTTTTGTATAAAGTATACACTCCTGATGTTTCGGTTACTTTTCAGTAACCGTGATCACATCTCGTATGCTCATACGCGTCGTACAATAAAAAAAAATCATTTAAACGAATACTCGCGAAAACCTTAGCTCTCAAAATGTCAGACAATTTGAAATAAGATATTAAGTAAAGCTTGAGGTAAAAATTAAACCCTATGAATTATTATTTTTGAAATAAGTACACTAATAATATTGCTTTATACTAACCTGTTGAGGCATCGAATACAACTAGCTTAGGTCCGATTCTACCTGGTCTGTCGTCTGTGGATTCTGTATTCTAGAAAAAACTAGACGTTAAAGAAATCTGAATTATTTTTCTGGGAAAATAGCTATATTAAACATTGTTCGTGAAGTTTTTGTAATCTATAGCTTTAAATAGTTTGATTGGATTGTTATGATAATGTTGAATTTAGTAGTGACATTAGAAAAAAGTAAAAAAATGTAGGGTAGATTAACAGAAATATTCATGTCATTCATTTAACAAAAGTGTAAGAATGTCAAAATAAAATTACGAATATTCAGAAATAAAGGAGGAAACAAAAATAAAAATAAAACTACTACTTATGGTGATACTAAAATATGAAATGAATGATAATAATTACTATTGATATATACTATACTCGGACAAAAGATCGAGACTTTTGTTACAATATTTTTGATACTCAGCACTTTGCTCCAATACAATCTTGTAACCTAAGTGATATTATTTGTTTGTTTTTAAAGCGTTCGGGACTAATTATGCAGCAAAACTTTCCACGATCACAGATAATTATAAAACATACCTTTTTAACAATAATTAGAGCATTATACTAGAAAATATTTGAATCACAAGCAAAAATAAGGGCAATTCTTACAAAAAGTATAAGAAAACTGTTCATTCATTCATTCCATTCCAACTTACTCATTATTTATTGTATGAATGATGGTGAAAGACATTTCTTGGTCTTTGTCCATTTTATAAGGATGAAAATATTAGTAAGGATTAAATATAAATGTGGTATTTATATAATTTACAAAACGAAAATGTTATTACAAGATTTCTATTTAGAAAATAATAGAATTTTAAGTTCTAAATCTTCAAAAAATATATCAAAACTAAGAGTAGTTATACCTCTGCCGGTGTGACAACGGGATGTTTCTTTGTAGATTTCGTCTTGTGACTCGTTACTTTCGCGTCAAGCATTTTGGATAGATTATCACGTACGTGACTTACATATTTAGTTCGCCTTAAATAAGTTAAAGAGTTCGCCTTAAATTATTATGGAACTTAAGGAGAATTTGAGAAAGGATGAGTAAAGGAAATATGTTACTGATTATGTTTATCAGTGTTGTCCTTCATCACAAGGTCATTGCCAAATACCCTTCGTATAGTGTCATGTACTTCACCCTTCTCAGCAGAACTGCTGCATACCCCGAACATAGATCGAAGAACGTTCATCATCACTTTGAACTTCTACAAAAATACAAGATACAGCATTCATTAATTAAGAAGATTATTCTATTTTTATATCTGGAAACATTACTCATATACTATTTCAATATCTTTATACAGGGTGACTGGTGAATTAGTATCGATATTTGAGGACGTGATATTTGACGATCATATATGACAAAATAAAAATTAATATAACATAAATATTAATAAACTTCTAAGTAAAGTTAACCAAAAGTTATGTAATTAATTACGCATCGTGTGAACACCCTACAGATTAGGTATACACACACACACACAGACGCGGCGGCGGCGTAGTGTTGTATCAGCACGCCGCCGCACGCGTCCACACTTGGAACACTTGGAACGTGTCCACACTTTATTTATTTATACGGAAATTTGGTCAAAAATTAAGTACCTATTTTTTTACATAATTCGAATGAGAATCATGTACCGAGTATGCTCCTTAAATATTGATAGTAATTCACCAGTCACCCTGTATAGATAACTTTTCTGTGTCTGTAATTCTAGTAAATAAGAACTTACTCTTTGTTCCTCTTGATTATTATAAAAACCGTCTATATGATTACGAGTATATGAAAATTTTCAATATAAAAATCAATAATAGTTAAAATTAACTCATAAGTATTATATATTGCGCTACAAAGAAATGCTCTTCAAAATATTACAATCAAAATGTTTGAAACGTCAAAATTATGCCGAGTTATAAGTTGAACCTCTTTGGTAAAATACTTTTTTAATAACGTAGGTAATATATTTTTATCTAATTTTTTTTGGGTTGAACCCTTTTTTATGAACTTAAAATTAAATAAAATATATATTTTTCAGTATAAATTAAATATTTCTTAATATTAAAGTGTTTGACAGAAAGCAATCTTGGTTTTTTTGGACATTAAAAAATATATATTTATATTCATAAATTTGTCAGAAACATGTTTAAAATACACAAATATATTTTAGATTACCTCATTTGATATTTTTTCTGATGTTTTTACAACTTAAATAAAAGCGTTGGGAAAATATTGATGTCTAAAATATTGAACTACGTTAAATAGTAGATAAATATGTAAAAAAAAAATTCTTATTTACTCTAACTATATAACTTTAAAGTAATTCAGATAAAAAGGAAAATTACGGAAAAGCAAGCTCGTTACATTTTCCGAAAGGTATAATACGTTCAAAGAAATTGACTTTTTTATGGTCCACAAATTTTCTTTACCATCGCTTTGAAATTTCGTGAAATTAAAAGAAGATTTTCCTCTAAGATTTCTCTAAAATATAAAAATGTTATATTCTAACTTCTCTGATGTTATGTAGTTTAGTATATTTACAATTTTTAAATACGTTATTATACTTAAAATATACTTGTAGTTTTCGTAATTTTTCCTTAAAATATAAACCTTATTCTGACCAAAGTCTACTTAAAAGTATCTTAAGATCTATCTTGAGAATTTATATATATATATATATATTTATATATATATATATATATATATATATATATATATATATACATAGTCAGTGGTGGCCTGGTCGTTAAAAGGCCCGCCTGTCATGCATGAGGGACCGGGTTCGATCCTGGCAAGTACCCCTGTGATTTTTCCGAGTCATGTGCACTTTCTAACAGTATTTAGACATCACTGATTAATGCTTTCCCAAAACTATTCACAACATGTAAGGCAGACCCTGGCTAAAGCTGGGAAATTGCAGGATAGAAGATATATATATATATATATATATATATATATGAGACGAAACCTCTTAGCATTCGATGGATTCACCGTGCGGGTGCCGGGTCCATCGCGTTGCAGGGAGAGGAGCTTCAACAGTGCCTGGGACTTGCGACCCAAGTGTAGGTTTAAGGGGCCCCTTAACTAACGCGCGTTATACGCTCACCTCCATTGTCCAAGTTCCTCTCCCTACCTAACCAAATTTGAAAAGAACCTACTAGGGCTGCCTTCGCAATACGTTCTAAGAATGAATTAATGTTAGTTCTGGACAGGCCCAAGTCTTTTAGTAGGTTATAGAGAGATTTATTTATTTAGAGCTGTTATACCTCTCGCTCCCACCTCTACCGCGTACAAATCAACGACGAACCTATTTCGAGTTAGTTCGTTAGTGAGCTCGTAATACTTATTGACCTTGATGGCATGGTCTTTGGGGATGTTGGTTTCCCAAGGCACCGTAAGCTCTATCATCACAACGCGCTTTAAAATACGCGAATATAGAAATATGTCCAGTCTGGAGGCCGACGCACAAATATCCTCGGGGATATTGTATTGTTTCTCATACGTATCCATCATGATAGTCCAATCCGAAGCCGCTTTAAGGATATATATATATATATGAAATAAGAAATCACAAGAAATAATCTCGAAAAATAAGAACAACTCAACGTATCTTAGTAACACAGTCGGTTTTTTTAATTATTATATTAACAGTGAATTTGAAGCCGTAGCCTTACATGGCTTTTGTTGTAAATTGGCACTATTTGAAGATAATACACTGGCCTATGGTTTTGGCAATCATGAGGCTTGTAAGTGAATAAAATGAGGTCAGAATGGTAATTCAGTTTCATCATGTGTGAAAAACACTAGTTATGAACCGCGACTTCGCTTGGGATTTTATTACAATATTATTCTATTCATTCACACGAATATAGTCAAGTTGTTAAGTATACCCAGATTAATATAAATTCAATGTAACATTGTTCTTAATTATTGTATTTAAATAATTTTCGTTATACCATTTCAAGAAGACTATAATTTATTTTGTAAAAGCAGAATGCAGACTGTTTTTAATTTTTAATCTATATCAAATATACTTTATTATTTGAAACAGCAATATGTAAGAAATAAATTTACTTTATAATTACACGTTTTCATAAATATTCGAAGTTTCAAAGTTTTTCTTTGTATGTACTAGTGATCGAATATGCTGAAATTATCAGACCAACGCTAGTGGTTCAAATTAAATCTAACGATTGGTTCCACAGACAACAGTAAAGTCCTAATTATCCCTTTTGAAATATTGAACACCTTAAGTAAAACCCATTTTAAATATATCATTCACCCATCCAAGTTGAGGCTACATCAAACATTGCTTAGCTTCCAAATCGTAACGTGTTCTCTGTAAATGCTTTTTTAAGTCATAAATTGTAAATCAATTTAATTTCTACCTAACTTCGCATTGGTTACTCGTTTGAAAACAGTCAGGTCATCTTTAAACCTACGAATTCAAATATCCAATTTCGCAGACATGTTTACTCAGTAACGGCCGTGAGAACTTTAGCTTTAGACATTCAAGGCTGAATCTTCAATGATATTGTTTTGATATAAATTACATTTACCTGATATATACTATATTTCGAAAAGAAACGACCTTATCAAAAAACATGTAATTCCCATGAAATATACTTTTTATCATCATCATCAGCCTATAAGAGCTTACAACTGAGCAAAAGCCTCTTCTCAAATAGATTGTTGATTTCAAACTTGTAATTGGAAATTATAAATCCAGGTTTCCTCACGATGTTTTCCTTCACCGTCTCTCAGTCGTGACTAAATACTCTTAGAAAGTACATATGAACCCGCATCCTCATGCACGACGGGCGGGCCTTAAACCTCTAAGCCACAACGACTTCTTAAATGTACTTTTAATTGAATTATTTTTAATTCTTTCTTATTCATATTATGTATGTCATATAATTAAGTATTTATTATCAATGAATATTTTGAGTTATCATTTAGACCAAGTGCAATTACATTACCGATATGTCTGTTTACCTTATTGTCTTCGTGTAATTAATTTACAAATTAATATAAGAATGACAAATCTATTAAGATTAACATGTTTTGTTTAAAATGTCATATACTGACTTTTATTCAAGAAATATATATAATAAAGATTTAAGTAATGAAACTTATACGTGTTTTATTATCGGTAAGATATGACGGGGTGGGTTAAATAATGTATAAGGTATTCTTTTTCATATAAAATGATAGCTTGTTTACTAGACTGTTAAGTTTCGTAAACAAGTAAACAAGATCCCTTTGGATAATAAAACTGTTTACATCGAGTTTTTATTACGTTTGTTTATTATTTTTCGAGACATCAAATTCGTTATACTGAAATGATGATGTATTTAAGAAATGTTACCCCTTCATAAATAAAATAAAACACTTTAAAGTAATAAATTGATTAAATAACTGTAATTGATTCAGTTTTTTATAAAATTAATATAACCATTATTTTTTTTAAAGATTTTTCAGAATAATATCTTCATTGTGATTTCAATAAAAAATTAACAGACAAATAACTCCTTGGTGTTTTCTACAAAGAGTAACTATTCAAAATTAAATTCAAATAAATGTTGATACTAGAAAAATATTCTACAATTTCAATGTAAATAAAGCGTAGTAATTAAATATGAAAGATTGTACAGAAATACAAAATTTTTACTATTTATTAAAGCGACGTACTTCAATGTAAGATATTGTAATTGCAAGCAAAGCCGTGTATAAAATGTAGTTAAGATATGCAAATAAAAGGGATTTTGTCACTGTCAGTGATAAACAAATAAGCGAGGGAAGATATTCCTTTGCTAAATATGAATGGCTTGCAGAAACCTTTCTATCTGACTCGTTACACTCAAGTGCTCAAGTTTGACCTTCATTTCGTGTACACTTTTGTACAAAGTCATCTTTGTACATATTTTGTGAATGTGTACATGTTATTAGACATGTTTATTTTGCCGCTGAGCTGTTGAATTTTTTATACGACTTTCAACAAATTACATACACACTGCTTACTGAAAAAGAAATAAAGAAATGTGAAAATTATTTGGATGTTTCATGTTTTCTTTTATAAATATTTCAACTGGGTTGTTTTGTTTTATAATCGATATTTTATATTAATAACTCGAAATACATATGTAAGTCGAAATATTCAAACGAGAAGTACTTACAAGTAATTAATAGCTTATAATA